TCCGTCTCCTCCTGTCCCTTTCCTCTCTCCCTCTCTGCCTTGCTCACCTCCTCCCTCTCCTCAGTGCCCCGCCCAGGGCACCACAGCTTCATGATGAGAGAATTTTCCAGCTTTTCTTTGTCTCTGTGTCTGACCCCAGCGAATGAGCAACCTCCCTCAGCCCTCTCCCCAGGCGGCTCCACCTGAGGCCAGGGCTCAGCCTCCCTTTGCCCCATTGCATGCCGGTACCCAGCAGCCCACGCTGACCCCGGTCATTCTCCGGATTCCCCTCCTCCTCCATCTCCCGCCCAGGATTCGGTCCAGGGCCCCAGGGCCCTATGTTGTGACCCCACAGTTTCCTGACAAGGTTCCCTGTGCCTTCACCTCCACAGCCAGTTCCCCAAACGCCCGGTGTCCTTCCCAAATGCCCCATCTGTCCATGACCCTCCTCTGGCCTCAGGGCACAGGCCTGCCCCTGGGCAGCCACAGCTCCTCCTGACCCTTCCCCACCCTCCTGGCCCCCCTGACCTCGGCCCCCCAGGCTGGCTGAAGGCCTTGCCTTTCACTCCCACAGCTCCCTCTGGCCTCTGATCCTCTGAACCCCCTTCTCTCAGCCCCAGCCCACTCTTCCTCTCCTGCCCCAGATAAACACCTCCTCTGAGGAGCTGCCCTGAAGGCCAATCCTAGCTCAACTGCCACCCTCAGGGCCCCCAGCCCCTGGGACTCCACCTCTCCCCACGTGATCCTGCTCTGCTGAGGTCCCTGTGCCTGTCCCACCCCCTCTGGGCTTTGAGCTCCATCAGGGGGTCCTGTGTGCTCGGCCCTCCCTCCCTCACCTCCTGGTCCTGAGAGGGGCCTGGTTTGGAACAGGAGGGAAGGACCTGCGGGAGCAGCAGGGCTGGAGGGCCCGGGGCCAGGGCTCAGGCCAGGCAGGCCCAGAGCTGCTGTCCATCTGGGGGAACAAGGGCATTTCTCACTCTGAAGCGAAATGGTGACTTAAGGGGAGGCCTGGGCCCTGTCCCGGGAGCAGGGCAGTGAGCTGGGCCTGGTCTGGGGGAGGCAGCGGTTCCCAGGAGCAGTGAAGCAGGTGGACTGAGCTCTGGAATGTGCAGGGGCCTTCCCGGAATGGCCCCACTTCCTGTAAGAGCCGGGCCCAGCTGGCTGCTGCACACACACACGTGCTGGGCTGGCCCCTCCCAGATGACCTTCCAGTCCTGCAGCAAAAGAGACTTAACATACAGGTCTCCGTGGCAGCCTCAAAGACAGTGCTGGAGTTCCCAGCAGGAATAGGTGTGAGTCTGAACTCCAGGGCTATTGCGGGCAGCTGTCCGCGTTGGACGCTGAGAACCAAATGCACCCCATCAGGCAGACACAGGCCTGGGAGGAAGGGGTAGGGGTGTGAGAACAGGGGCTGAGGAGGCACCGAACCCCAGCAGCAGCTGAGCCCCACAGCCCGGGATCCACTGCTCCCCAAGCCCCGGGTCCCCATCAGCCCACACTCCAGCTCCTTCCCCAGCTCAGGGGCACAGACCAGACACCACACATCCTCCCACTGGCCCCCAACCCCATACAGTGCCAGACCCAGAGCGGGGCTCCCTCTGCCCGATGACCTCCCGGTCCCGCAGCCAGAGAGACTGAAACAGCACTCAGGTCTCCATGGCAGCCTCAGAGACAGCGCTGGGCTTACCAGCAGGAACCCAGCCCCGGGCCTGCATTATAACAGGGAGCTGCCCTCCCCTGTAGAGCTGGTTCTAGAAAGTTCTGAGGACTTACCGAAGCCATTGTCAGCCAGCGTGGGTCTGGCTTTCTGCTCCTAGTGCAGCAGGTTTTATACCCAAGTGGACACTTTCTCTTTCACTTTCCTTTCTTTTGTTCAGAAGGACTGAACACTGACTGTCAGCATTTGTCTACATGGACAGCCATGGTTTCCGCCCTCAGGGCCTGGAATGTCTGGGCGTGGAAGTTGCCGGGAAGCAGTGGTCAGAATCAGAGGGAAGCCTTACACCTGCCCTGCCCTGGCCACGTGCTCCCACTGCAGGACGGGACCATGAGCGGCCCCGCTGTGAGCCCCAGGCCTTCGTGGGCCCTCACCTGATACCCACCCCATGAAGGACGGGAGCCCCGGGCAGCCTTCGGGGCGGGACCCCACGGGAAGGCCTCAGCAGGCGGGTGCCGGGACCCCGGGGACCCCGGGGCTCATTGGCATGGGGTGCATGTGGGTGGGAGAAGGGAACTCCCCTGAGCGCGGCTGCCCCAGCCTGGCCGCCCGCTGTCCCCGGAGCAGGAGGCTCAGCCCGCAGCTCCCCAGGCACCAGGGCCCAGGCTTTCCCCCCTTACCTCAGTCTTGAAACAGCAAGCAGACAAGCTATTTGTCCTTTCAAGTAAGAAGTCGGTAGAAAGACAAGCTCCCTGTTAAAACAGGAGGTTCCAGAGCTGGGCTGGGAGCACCGTGTGCTGCAACGGGCCCGGCAGAAGCCGTGTTTGGTGATGGGGGACTGCCCCCCTTTTCCCTCCCTGGACCTTCCTGTTGCCAAAAGATTGTCTCCTGAGGGTGCTGCTATTGGAGGGGTGAAGTAAGCAATACTGGACTCAGGTGTTCCTCCTGAAAACCCGTTTTTTCCCAAATCCAATACTTCATAATTCTTTTTTTTTTTTTTTTTTTTTTTTAATATATATATTTCCCCGAAACCGGTTTGGTTCAGTGGATAGAGTGTCGGACTGTGGACTAAAAGGTCCCGGTTTCAATTCCGGTCAAGGGCATGTTCCTTGGTTGCGGGCACATCCGCAGTAGGGGGGTGTGCAAGAGGCAACTGGTCGATGTTTCTCTCTCATCGACATTTCTAACTCTCTATCCCTCTCAATTCCTCTCTGTGTAAAATCAATAAAATATATTTTAAGTATATATATATATATATTATTGATTTTTTACAGAGAGGAAGGGAGAGCGATAGAGAGTCTGAAACATTGGTCAGCTGCCACCTACACACCTCCCCCCAGGGGATGTGCTCGCAACCAAGGTACACGCCCTTGACAGGAATCGAACCTGGGACCCTTGAGTCCGCAGGCCGATGCTCTATCCACTAAGCCAAATCGGTTTTGGCCCATTCTTCATTTTAAATAGATTCCTGCCCTCAGCCTCCATGGCCAATGGCAAAGACTTGTATTTCTGAATGGATGTGAGAGACTCCTTCATCTTCTTGGCCATGATGAGAATGAGGTTCATATGGTCATCCACACACTTGGTCACACAACTCGCCAGCTGCCGCTTCTCCTGACTCTCTTTCCTCCCCGCATGCATGGAGCCTTTGGCTTTGTCGTTGCAATGCTTGGTGCACCGGCCGGGCTGGGAGCCGGGGCCTGGGCCTGGGCCAGCGGTGGCAGCGCTCCCTGCACGGGGGCACCTGCTGCGTGGACGCCAGGCTGTCCTCACAACCGCCGGCGCTGCACCGGAACACGAGGCCCTGCATCTTCCGGACAGTCTCTCTCCAGACTCTTCCCCATGGTGTCCACCGCCTCCCGCACCCCAAGCTGCTGCACCTCTGCCAGGGCGACCCTGTGCTGCCCCGCGCCCACATGGACCCCTGCCCGGACCCTTATTTCTGCTTTTTATCTTAATCTAGTATTTGTTGTTTCACCCGTTATGGACTCACTAACTTTGCCTCCTCCTCTGTGTTTGTAATGATGGCTTAGGACGGAGACTCTCTGCCTGGGCACCAAGGACGTCTTGATGCAGATCAATCTTAGCTGTGGGGGCTGTGCCTTGTGGGACATTTAGCCATGGGCCTCAGCTGCTGCTGGGGTCCAGGCCTCCTCAGCCCTCTGCTCTCGCTCCCCCTTCCTCCCAGGCCTGTGTCTGCTGGATGCCTTGCGTTCCATTCTCAGTGTCAGAGGAAGACTGCTCCCCCGCCCCCAACTGCCCTGGTGTCCAGACTCAAAGGGGAAACCAGAGAGGCCGGCCCAGCACAAGGTGTGCGTGCAGCAGAAAAGCAGCCAGCTGGGCCCGGCTCTTATAGAAAGTGGGGCGATTCTGGGAAGGCCCCTGCACATTCCAGAGCTCAGTCCACCTGCTCCACTGCTCCTGGGAACCGCTGCCTCCCCCAGACCAGGCCCAGCTCACCGCCCTGCTCCCAGGACAGGGCCCAGCCTCCCCTTAAGTCACCATTTCACTTCAGAGTGAGAAATGTCCTTGTTCCCCCAGATGGACAGCAGCTCTGGGCCTGCCTGGCCTGAGCCCTGGCCCCGGGCCCTCCAGCCCTGCTGCTCCCGCAGGTCCTTCCCTCCTTTTCCAAACCAGGCCCCTCTCAGGACCAGGAGGTGAGGGAGGGAGGGCCGAGCACACAGCACCCCCTGATGGAGCTCAAAGCCCAGAGGGGGTTGGGCAGGCACAGGGACCACAGCAGAGCAAGATCACATGGGGAGAGGTCGCATCCCAGTGGCTGGGGACCCTGAGGGTGGCAGCTGAGCCTGGTAATTGTGTCTTCTCTCTTTCGCTTTGCAATTTTTCAAAAAGTTTGTGGACATAATCGATGTTTTCAAAGACCCAGCTTTTGTGTGTTGGGTTTTCTCCACTCTTTCTGGTTTCAGTTTCGCTGGTGTCTGCGCCCTGTTATTTCCTTTCTGCGCTTGCCATTGTTCCATCCTTCCCTTTCCTGTTTCTGAGGAGGGAGCTGGAATAGTCCTTAGAGACCTCCTCTTGTCCAGGGTGAGCACTCACATTTCGCTTTCACGGCTGCTGTCCCTGCATCCCATGGATTTTATCCGGTGCATATTTGTTTGTGTGTATTCACTTACTCACCTCAACTGAACACCTTTTTTAGGGCCTCAGGTTCGGTTCTCACAGGGTTATTTTCTACTTGTCCCATGATTCCTCACTTCCCTTCTTTTTCTGGTTCTGCTTTTCATCTTGAATATTTTTTTGTTTCCATTTCACCCCAGTCATAGACTCACTAGCTTTGCCTCTTCTTCTCTGTGCGTGTGTGTGTGTTTGTGTTTTTAAATATATATTTTATTGATATTAGAAAGGCAGAGGGAGAAAAAGATAGATACACCAATGATGAGCGAGAATCATTGATTGGCAACCTCCTGCAAGCTGTCTCACCGGCCGGAGATCGGGCCCACAAACCAGGCATGTACCCCTGGCCGGATTTGAACCTGGGACCCTTCAGTGCACAGGCTGGTGCTCTATCCATTGAGCAAAACCAGCTAGGGTTTCTGTATTTTTAGTGATGGCTTTGGGGCAGAGACTCTACACCTTAGCACCAATGATGTTTTTTTGTTTTTTTTAATACAGATTTTTTTTATTTTTTTATTTTACAGAGAGGAAGAGAGAGGGATAGAGAGCTACAAATATCGATGAGAGAAACATCGATCAGCTGTCTTCTGCACACCTCCCACTGGGGAAGTCCCCACAACCAAGGTACATGCCCTTGACTGGAATTGAACCTGGGACCCTTTAGTCTGCAGGCTGACACACTATCCGCTGAGCCAAACAGGTTAGGGCACCAAGGACGTCTTGATCCAGATCAATGTTAGCTGTGGGGATGTGCCTTGTGGGACATTTAACTGTGGGCCTCAGCTGCTGCTGGAGTTCATGCCCCCTCAGCCCTCTGCTCTCGCTCCTCCTTCCTCCCAGGCCTGTGTCTGCTGGAAGCCGGGCATTTGATTCTCAGTGTCAGCCGGGGTCAGCTCTCCCACCCCCACTGCCCTGGTGTCCAGACTCACACGGGGTGTGGGAGGGGCCGGTCCAGGGCGAGGTGTGTGAGCAGGGAAAAGCAGCCAGCTGGGCCCGGCTCTTCTGGGAATCTGGGCGATTCCAGGAAGGCGCCTGCACATTCCAGAGCTCAGTCCCCCTGCTTCACTGCTCCTGGGAACCGCTGCCTCCCCCAGACCAGGCCCAGCTCACTGCCCTGCTCCCAGGACAGGGCCCAGCCTCCCCTTAAGTCACCATTTCGCTTCAGAGTGAGAAATGTCCTTGTTCCCCCAGATGGACAGCAGCTCTGGGCCTGCCTGGCCTGAGCCCTGGCCCCGGGCCCTCCAGCCCTGCTGCTCCCGCAGGTCCTTCCCTCCTGTTCCAAACCAGGCCCCTCTCAGGACCAGGAGGTGAGGGAGGGAGGGCCGAGCACACAGGACCCCCTGATGGAGCTCAAAGCCCAGAGGGGGTGGGACAGGCACAGGGACCCCAGCAGAGCAGGATCACGTGGGGAGAGGTGGCGTCCCCAGGAGTTGGGGACCCTGGCTTGTGGCAGCTGAGCCAGGCTGGGCCTTCAGGGCAGCTCCTCAGAGGAGCTGTCTGTCTGGGGGCAGGATAGGAGGAGTGCACGTGGGGCAGGGGCTGGGGTAGAGAGAAGGTGGTGCAGAGGAGCAGAGGCCAGAGGGAGCTGTGGGGAGAAAAAGGCATGGCCTTCAGCCAGCTTGTGGGGGGCTGAAAACAGGGGGCCAGAAGGAAGGGAATGGTCAGAAGGGGCTGTGGCTATCCAGGGGCAGGGGAATTCCCTGAAGCCAGAGGAGGGTCATGGACAGATGGGGCATTAGGGAAGGACACCAGGGATCCTGTGGGACTGGATGTGGAGGTGAAGGGACAGGAGGCAGGGAACCTTGTCAGGAAACTGTGTGGTCACAACATAGGGCCCTGGGGCCCTGAACTGAGCCCTGGGCTGGAGATGGATGAGGAGGGGAATCCGGAGAAGTGACCGGGGTCAGCGTGGGCTGCTGGGTACCGGCATGCAATGGGGCAAAGGGAGGCTGAGCCCTGGCCTCAGGGGGGCCGCCTGGAGTGAGGGCTGCAGGAGGTTTCCCATTCGCTGAGGTCCTACACAGAGACAAAGAAAAGCTGGAAAATTCTCTCATTAGAAGCTGTGGTGCCCTGGGCGGGGCACTGAGGAGAGGGAGGAGGTGAGCAAGGCAGGGAGGGAGGGAGGAAAGGGACAGGAGGAGACAGGACAGAAAAGACCCAGCGCAGCCACTGCCAGCTGAGTGTCCCCAGGCAAGTCCCTCTCCCTCTCTGATCCTCAGTTTCCCCAGCTGAGCAAGGGGTGCTGCTTCCTCCCCTGGGCTGTGGGAGGGGGAGTTATGGTGGGGAAAGTGCCAGCAGAGCCTGCTTTCTGAGTGTGTGAGCCCTTTCTGTCCCCTCCCCCACCCAGCTCCGGAAGCTGGGCAGCCACACTAGGGCCTCCGCAGAGCTCAGTCCCCTTCCTGGGCTGTCAGTCCTGTCCCCCAGGTGGGCATCTCCCAGGGCGGGTGCCCGGGGCTGGAGGGGCAGGGGGTGAGGAGGAGCCTTTGGGGCCATGCACAGCCAGGGCCAGAGGCGTGTGCACACCTGCAGAAGCTCAGGCTCACCTGCCCACGTGGCTGGGATGGGCCTGGGTCCCAGCCTCCGGGAAGGGGCTTTGCACACAGCAATCATGCCATCACCCTCTGGACACATGCACAGCACTCCCACATATGCTCGGCAACATCCTCATCTGTGTGCATGTACATGCACCACATACAACATACATGTGCACAAAACACACAGGCACCCGTGCGTTACACGCTCTCTCTTTGGACAATTCCTCACTCTCCCAAAGCACAGGGTCCTGTTTCCAGGCTTGCCTCCCTCGGGGCAGCCAGTTCCCCAAGGGCACCCTCTGAAAGCGCCAGGGGCTGAGGGCCTCACGGGGCCAGAGTCCCCTCCACAGGCTCACCAGGCCATGAGCATCCGCGAGGACTCCCTGCCCGGCGGCCGCTCCCAGCGCCCTCTGCCGCTCCCTGAACTCTGTCTCACCTCCTGGCTGTTCTCCTGCAGCTCCGTGAAGAGCCCAAGCCTGGGGACCTGATTGAGATTTTCCGAACTGGCTACCAGCACTGGGCCCTCTATGTGGGCGATGGTTATGTGATCCACCTGGCTGCCCCAGGTAAGGGCGTTCAAAGTAGGATTTATCAAAGATTTCTTAGCCTAAGACAGTGGTCGGCAAACTCATTTGCAAACAGCAAAATATGAGCAGCACAAATATTGAAATTTCTTTTGAGAGCCAAATTTTTTAAACTTCTAAAATCTCTTCAAAATAGACTCATGCTATTCTGTGGAAGAGCCACACTCAAGGGAGCAAAGAGCCACATGTGGCTCTCAAGCTGCAGTTTGCTGACCACGGGCCTAATGAGAACAATTCAAAGCCAAATTCCACCCTGTGAACCAGTGTCTGTTCTCCCTGGGCAGTGTGTGTGCTCACTGTACACCTGTGTTCCTTGGAGGCATCTCAGTGGTCCCTTGTGTCCTGACTCAGCAGGCACAGAGGTCTGTTGGCCCAGAGAAGCCAGACTGCACCCGCATTGTACACTGTCCAGCTCAGGCTGGTAGCTGGGCGAGCAGACAGATCTCTCTAAAGCAGCAGCGTGTCTGGGTGTCCCGGTCTCATGGAGGGACTGCCTCTCAGGCTGTGTCCTGTGCTCAGAGGCCGTCACAGAACAGGGCGTCCTGAGAGGGTTTCCTGAACACCCCCCATGCAGCAGCTCTCCCAGGTCACACGTCACAGAGAGTCACACACACACGCACACGCACACACACACACACACACACACACACACACACACACTCAAGCACCTGGACCCTGATGTAGCACAGGGAGAGCAGAAGCAGGATGACAGGAAATGGCAGGGCACACACATGTGTACCGTCCATGACAGGAAGGTGCTGGGATGAGACCTCGGACTGGGAGGCACAGGGGCTGGTGCCCTGCAGAGCAATGGCACCCACACGCCCAATAGCAAGGGTTTGCGTTCTCGCTGGGCAGAAACCGTCTCATGATCACAAGAATCTCCTTGTAACTGACCAGGTTCCTATGCACTGTCACCTACACTGACAGCGTTGAAAACTGTCAGCATTGATGGCAAATAGTAAGCTAAACCCCCTAATCCAGACGACACTGAGGAGGCTTGGAACAGGGAGGTGAGTGTGAGGATGGGTCCTGCCTGTGTGGGAGTGAGCAGGTCGTGCTTCCTCAAGGGCGGTGCTAAGTGCAGCACCAGCCTGGAGCCTCACACACAGAGGAGCCTGCTGGTTAGTGTGCTCCTCAGTTCCCTCCTCTTAGAGCCAAACCCGGCTCCAGGCTCAATGGACTGGACGCCACCAGCTGGAAGCGCTGTGTGGCCTCTCCATGTGGCCAGAGCTGGGCCAGAGAAGGCCGATGATGCCTCAGGTCCACTATCAATTCTAAAACAGAGATGAGAGTTTTAACATGAAGTTCAGAAGGAGAATAATGAGGGAATGTGAGAAATTTGCACAGCAGAGTCTGAAACCCAGTCAGACTAAAACAGCTGTGAGCTCTCTCTGAAACACACACGTGCAAAGATGAACAAGTACAATTTACTACCATTGTTTACAATGGATAAGCTCTGGACCAGCCAATAGTAGGGACGTGGTCAACTAGATGATGTCCATTCATATAATGGAACACAGTGGCAGCCACTGACCATCACAACATTGATTGACATGAAAAGTACTCACAGCTCCTTAAGGGAAAGAGCAAAATGATGGAATCCTCCAATCCCATTGGTGAAGGGACAGACACCAGAGGTCAATAGTGTGATCCCCTGGCCCCTCCTCCCTGCCTTGGGTCCTCTCTCCCTCCCTGGCCTCCCTGCAGGTGCTGATACTCGTGTGTCTGATTCCAGATGGGTTCTCTGGGGCTGGCTCCTCCAGCGTCCTCTCCGTCCTGGGCAGCAAAGGGATAGTGAAAAAGCAGCGCCTGAAGGATGTGGTCGGGGGCTGCCGCTATCGGGTCAACAACCACTTGGACCAGCAGTACTCACCGCTGCCCGTGAACAAGATCATCAGGTCTGCGGAGGAGATGGTTGGTAAGGCGTTGGAATACGATGTTCTGAAAAAGAACTGTGAGCACTTTGTCACGGACCTGAGATACGGCAATCCCCGCAGCAAGCAGGTAAGGCCCTCTCTGGGGGCTCCCTCTCCCTGTGAGGTCTGCTTGGAGTGGGGGCGACAAGAATGACCCTGAATAAATCTAAAGGGAGCTCTCAGGGTCTTGTTGGCTGGGAGTCAGGATGTTTGAGATCAAATCTCACATCTGCTTTTAATCCACTCAGGGTCTTTGGACAGGGCACTTCCTCTCTGGCCTCAGTTTCCCCATGTGCAGAAGGAGGGGATGTTGGAGGCCCTCTGGGGCTCTGGCCACCTCTTTCCCTTTAGGATCCTTTGTCTCTAAGACCCGCCCTAAAGGCAGCTCCTGATGCCCTGTGTGCTGTCAGGGAAAGTCTGGGCCAGCCCTGCACCATGACAGGTGTCCTAAGGCCCCAGAGAGCCCTCAGCAAGAGATGCTCAGGTCTCTGGCCTATGTGAGAGCTCAAGAACATGTTATGTAAGATCTGGGCTCAGCCTTCCCCTCCCTCTTTCCCTCTTACCAACACACAGTGAGTTAAGAGGCACAAGCAGGATTCAATGCTCTTTCTGCTGAACCACAGCACCTCCAGGGCTCACAGCCCCTGTGATTGGGTGATGGGCAGCCTGGATGGAGGAGAATGAGGGCAGAAGGAGCAGGTTTGGAGGGAAATTAAAGATTTGATGCTCATGGACGGTATTGAGATGAACAGTTAGACAGCCAGGTGGACCTGTTTAGTCGCAGTTGGACCTGTGAGTCTGGAGTTCAGGGCTGAGGTGGGGGTGGAGATAGAAGGTTCTAGGCTGCACTTGGGAACAGTATACAGAGCACAGTGATCCCTGAGGCCATGGTTTCCCATCGTCCCCCTCAGCTCTGCCACCACCTCCCTCTGCAGAGCTGGAGCCCAGGTAGAGCCCCGACCACAGCCATTCCCACTTTCACCCCCAGAGCTCTGGCCCAGGAGCCCAGGCAGGAAGCCCCCTCCCCTATTCCCCGTCAGGACCGAGTGGCCCCACCCAGGAGGCTCACACACAAGGATTCCATCTGTCCATCTGCCGGTTGTCAGGACACAGCCTGACCAGCCCAGTACTAACAAGCGGTCACACTTCCGGCTCCCCAGGGAAGGGATGTGGGGACAAGGCCAGCATCTCTGAGGGGCCAGGCCCCTGGAGAGGGCGGGAGCCGAGTGTGGCCTCCAGCCCCTTTGTCGGGAGGGAGGACCTGTCCGGACTTGCTGTGGATGGTGAGCTTGGGCTGCTCTTTTTCAGGCAGAAAACTTCCAGACCAAAGCAGTTGTGGGTGGAGCAACTCTTATGGGCGGAGCCTTGGCTTTCGCTGGCTATACTTTCATGAGCAAGCGATTCCAGCGCCAGTGACAGCCTGAAGGGGCACAAAACCCCGCGTGAGAACCCGCTGTAGAGACGACCTCACATCGTCCTGTCACCCTGACCCGAGCTCTCAAACAACCTGTCGTCCTGTCTCTCACTGGCCCTCCCCCTCCCTGGCTGAAGGATGGCCTGACTGTGCCAAGACTCAAGAACTCACACCTGAGCCTCTGGACCCTCCCGGGAGCAATCCCCCCGCCTCTGTGGCGCCTGAACCAGAACGGAAGCCCCGGGGCGCCTGTGGGGGAAGCCAGCGTTTTCCCTCCGTGTGACCTTCCTCTCCAGCTGGGGACCGGATCCACTCTCAGAGGACAGCCAGGGGACCAGAGAAGGCGGTGGGTGGGGGATCCCAGCCCCTGGCCGGCCTGGAATAGGTGCTCAATGTCTGTGGTCTGACCACTGCGATCAGCAGACACCACTCATTTCCTCTCATGGTGCGAAACCAAACACACAGTTCCCTCCCCTGCAGGCCCACCTCTGGCCCTGAATCCCCTGATGAGGCTTCAACACAGCACCTTCCAGCATCTCTCCCGTCCCTCCTGCCTCCTCCAGTCAGACCTCCTTTTAGAAGTTTTGTTTTTCTTTAACACTTTGTTCTTCAGAGAGGAAGGGAGGAGAGATGGAAACATCAGTGATGACAGAGGAGCATTGATCAGCTGCCTCCTGCACGTCCCACACCAGGAATTGAGCCGCAACCCGGGCATGTGTGCCGATCGGGAACCCAACTGTGACCTCCTGGTCGGTACTCAACGGCTGTCCCACCAGGCCTGTTTTTCTTCTTTAGCTCAAAGGTCAAGTCCTCACCCATCTGTGACTCCCACCTGGGATTTAACCATCTCCCTGTGCCCCACTCGCCACGGCTCAAGCTGCCCGGGTGGAATATTGAGATGAGTGGCCTCCACGATGAGGGCAGTGAAACGCTGTGTGACTCTGTGCTGAGGGAGGCATGTCGTTATCATGTGTCCAGATTCATAGACGGCGCCACACCCAGAACCGCGGGCTGCACTAAGGCCTGTGGGTTGTTGTGATGTGCCGATGGAGGTTCGTCAGTGACACCAAAAACACCCGCTGGGGACAGGGAGGTCGGTAATGGGGGAGGCTCTGCGAGATTGTGGGGCAGAGGCCCATGGGAAATCTCGGTACATTCCTCTCAATTTCTCTCCAAACCTACAATTTCTCTAAGAATAAAATGAAGTCTTTTATGAAACTTACCCTCCTCAGAGCATCCCTCTGCTAGTACCTAGTGCGCCCTGGGTGTGGTCTCAAAGGGGGCGAGGACCCCTGCCCTCTACTTCCTGGCCTGGCCTCTGCCACAGCCCTGACAGCCTCACTGGAGACCTGAGGGCGTCCCCTCTCCTGGCCGTACCTTCCCTGCACGAGAAGGTGGGCTGGAGGGGTCTGATCCCCTCGGTGCCCAGACACCAGGCTGGAACAAAGCTCGGGGCATCAGAAGGTGGAAGAACGAAGAGAATGACCTGCACTTCCTGCCACAGAGCGCCCTGCTCAGATGCCCAGGGGGAAAGGTCAGCCTCCAGGCGGGGGTTCCAGAAGGAGCCCTGCTGGCCTTGCTCCCAGCCTACCTCTGGGTCTGAGCTGGCTGTGAGCCCTATAACCAGCGGGTGAGAGACGGGAGGCGGCTTCTGGCCTCTTGTCCAGAGCTCCCCCAAGAGCGGTGGGAGAGGGGATCTGGGGACCCGGGTCTTGTGGGAGATGTGAGCTCCGGGCTCTAATTCTAGGCAAGGAATCTCCCCTGGGACCAGACCCAGGCTCCCAGCGGCTCTGGAGGGACCCAAGGGTGGTGCCAGCTCCGCCCCCTCCCCTGGGTGGCCTGGACCAGGGGTGCCAGTCCCTGCAGTTGAGCTCACCCACAGTCCCCACCAAGGGAAACTGCCTCTGCCTCCAGGGTCAGGTTCAAACCATGGGACCAGCCTCATCCCTCAGAACTGATTGGCTCAGTGTGCTCACCTGACCCCACAGCAGCCAATCAGGTGGCTGAGCTGGGATGCGGTGGGCTGAGCCAATCAGATTCTCTCTCGGGGACTTGAACAGGGAACCAGGAGCTGCAGCCTTGAGGGGAGATGCTGCTGAGCTGATGCAGAAGGGAAAGCCGTGGAGGGAGGTGTCAGGGACTGGCTCGGTGGGGAGATCAGGATTCTAATTATTCCGGAGCCCAGAGGCGTGGAGAGCAGCAGCAGGAAGGGCGCCTCGGCCGCTGGGGGGAGTCCCATTTCTGGCCCAGCATCCTCAGCAAGGTTCCTGCCGCTGAGCCCGGCCCTGGCGGCCATGGGTCCTGCTCTGCCCTCACAGGTGTGCCCTCCAGGAGGAGCCCCGAGGAAAGCAGAGAATGCCAGGATGCCCTCGGGCAGCTGGGGAAGAGCCTGGTCCATGAGCTCCAGCTGCCATGGCAACATGCCACCGGCTGGGGCTTCAGCACAGACACTTATTTCTCACAACCTGCAAGGTGAGGAGTTCATGGTGAAGGTGCTGGCAGGGGCAGGTCCTGGAGGAACCCTCTTCCTGCCTTGAAATGGCGACCTTCTCGCCATGTCCGCACATGGGAGAGAGAGCTCTGGTCTGATTATAAGGGCACGGGCCCGTCATGCCCACCCCGCACCCTCCCCACCACCTCATGACCTCTGAACCTCATGCCCTCCCAGAGGCCCCGCTCCAAATGCCATCACATTGGGGGTTAGGGCTTCAACGTGAATGGGGGCTTACGGGGACACAAGCACTGAGTCCATGACAGAGACAACTGTGTCTCTAAAAGCATTCACGCTAGGCCATGTTTCTCCAAATAAAATCTTCCTGTGCTTTTATAGCTCCATGGAAACCAGCCTCAGTGGCCTGGCTGGTGTGGGTCAGTGGTTGAATATTGATGCATGAACCAAGAGGCTCCATCCCCAGTAGGAAACATGCAGGAGGCAGCCACTGATGTCTCTCTCCCATCAATATTTCTCTCTATTCTCTGCCCCTTCCTCTCTTTCTTAGAAAAAAAAAAATCAATAAAAACATGTTTGTTTGTTTTTTAATTAGCCTAAATGAGTATAAAACAGAGTGAAATCAATAAACCAAACTGAAAGGTTCCGAGGGGCCAGCGTCCCGCCACGTGACAGGAGGCCACAAGGTATCAAAGGAGATTTATTCCAACACCTGGTGCGGGGCCGCTGAGACCGAGCACGGCATCCGCGGAGAGAGCAGGGGAGGGTCCATTCCTCCTGGGGGCTGCCAGCCGCTCTGCTGACATGGGGTCTGGTTCGCCCTTGGCTCCTCCCATCCGGGGCCTCCCGGTGACCTGAATGTGCGGTGCTCCAGGCCGCAGGCTTCCTGCAGGATCTCTGCTCAGCGCACAAGTCTCGCTCTGCCCCTGGTATTCCCTTAAACCCTTTCACAAACCCCACCCCACTGGCTCAGCAAGTCCTCTCCATCCTAACTGGTTGCTGCGAAGATGATTCCTCGACCTCACTGCTCTTCCTGCTCCTCTTTGTCCCGCAGAGACCTGACGAGGGCCCCGATGCCCAGGCCCAGGAGCACAAAGCCTATGCCGATTGACACGCCGCCTGCCACGACCGCCTGAGTGACCTGCAGCACAAGAGACAGGTGTCATCCTCCCCGTCAGGGCCTGGCCTCGGACACACCCACCTCACTCAGGAGAGACCGGGCCCCTCCAGGGCACCACAGAGGAGCGGGTGTTTGCAGGGCAGCAGGCGCCCAGGAGAGCGGAGGGGAGGCGGGAAAGAGCGAGGGGGAGGAGCCGTGGGTGTGAGGGGACAGCGGCCCTGTGGGTACTGAGAGGCTCAGGAAGCCGCAGGGGTGGCCAGGGAAGGACACAGGCCGTGCCGGACGCTCTAGGTTAGGGCTGGCCCCTGGGAGCCGGAAGCAAGTTCAGCGTTGGGGGACCGCCTGTGAGCTCTCACGACCAGGGCTGGGCTGGGATGGTTCTGGGGGCCCTGGGCCTGAGCGTGGTCCGGGGTGGTTCTGGGGGCCCTGGGCCTGAGCATGGCCCAGGGTGGTTCTGGGGGCCCAGAGGTGAGCCCAGCCCGGGGTGGTTCTGGGGGGCTGAGCCCGGCCCAGGGTGGTTCTGGGGGGCTGAGCCCGGCCCGGGCAGGGCGTGGGCGCTGGTGGAGGAGCTGTGGCTCCCGTGTGGTGACTGGGCAGCGGCTTATGGAGTGAGATCACCTGGCTCTGCGCTGACCGGGGAGGGTCTGGACAAGGAAGCGGATACTCGGAAAACAGGGATGAGGCGGGGGAGACACCAGGATGGTCCCTGAGGGTCGTGCACTCGGGAAAGCCCTGAGAGCCCCCGCTGCCCGCAGGCTGTGCTGGCGGAAGCGGGTCAAGACCCTCAGAACGGATGCTCAAACCCCATGGCACAAAATGAAGCCCATAGCCCAGCCCAGCCTGGAAACGGTCGCTATGGGCACCGGGTAATGATATAACATAGCAACACCCAGCTTCCTCTCCCTAGCAACTAGCCTCCTTGGAGTTTCTTCAGCCCAGGAACATGGCTTGCTTTATAGCCAGGTGCAAACATTTTACACTTTAACCAAATGTTTGTGAAGCATTTTTCCATGCCTCATCTCATTTGATCCTCACACAAGTCCTGGAGTAGGTAGGTAGGAGACTTGGTAGAGTAGAATCCTATTTTCTTTTCATTAGCCGAAAAATGGAGATTTAGAAAGTTTAGAAACTTGACTTGACTGAAAAGAAGTAAGAAATGGTGGACCTTGAAAATAACTTCAGGTTTTCTCACTGCACAGAATATAGTCAAACACTGCTATAGTTACATACTTTACCCTTTGTTCTCCTGCATGATCTACAATAATAATCTGCTTCATGTTGATATTTACTGCTGTATTGCTGACAATTACCAGAAAGAGAAGTTGGGGTGTTTCACTGGGCTGGAAAAAGTTTAGATAAATCAGAAAGCAGGTCTAGTTAAGCAACTTTATCTATATATAAAACTCTCATTGGCACCAATTGTACACATGTGTTTCTATCTGTCATTGTCAATCATGAATTTGGATGACACTTCTACTAGTATTATAGAGAAAACTTAATAGCGATATTAAAATATTTTTTCTAATTAATTTCCTTTCAATGTGCATGAATTCTTGCACCAGGCCTCTAGGAAATTCATAATTCTTTACCCTTTTTGGCCTCGTGTCTTCCTTCTTTGGTGATTCTAACATCCACCACTGTTTTCATAAAAATCTTCTTTAGGAATAGCCTTACCCATTTCATTTGGATTTGTCCATGACTGCATTTCTGCTACAAAGCTGCGCAGTAAAGTGGCAAGACAGAGGCCACGTGGGCCAGAGCCCAAAAGGTGCACCCAGCCCATCTCAGAAAGCATCTATCTGGCCTAACCAGGCTCTTCCTCCTTCTGGCTCCCACTTTTCCTCCTCCCTCAGTCTGTAGTCCTTATTGCCCCTGATCCTCTCCAGCTCATTTTCCAGTTCCAGATTAGTCAAAAGAATTAAATCAGACCCTAACCAATGTGGCTCAGTGGATAGAGCGTTTGCCTGCAGATTGAAAGGTCCCAAGTTCAATTCTGGTCAAGTGCATATACCTTGGTTGCGGGCACATCCCCAGTAGAGGGTGTGCAGGAGGCAGCTGATCAGTGTTTCTCTCTCTCTCTCTCTCTCTCTCTCTCTCTCTCTCTCTCTCTCTCTCTCTCTCTCATCGATGTTTCTAACTCTCTATCCCTCTCCTTTCCTCTCTAAAATCAATAAAGTTTTTTTTTCAAAGAATTAAATCAGCTGAAACCTTTTTGGCTCAGTGGATAGAGCCTCGGCCTGCGGACTGAAGGGTCCCGGGTTCGATTCCGGTCAAGGGCATGTGCCTTGGTTGCAGGCACATCCCCAGTGGTGGGCCTGCAGGAGGCAGCTGATCAATGATTCTCTCTCATGGATGTTTCTGGCTCTCTGTCACTCTCTCTTCCTCTCTGTAAAAAATCAATAAAATATTTTTTTTTTTAAAGAATTAAATCAGATTCAGCTTGGGCTTTGCCTCTTCTGTGATGCCTTCCTGGATCAGGCACCTGGGTTCAAATCCCACCTCTGCACATGGCTGTCAGGTGCTAGAGCCTCAGTGCCCAGTGGTTGAATGGGTTTGGGTAAGCTAGTAAAGCACCGGGAGCCTCAGTTTTCCCATCTGTAAAGTGGGGATTAAACAAGCCTCCCTGGAGCTATGGGACATCACCCCCTGACCTCACTGGTCTGCACAGCGACTGGCACATCTCCCCACCCTCCTCCCTACCCCGACTGTCACTCCCTCGCGGGCAGGGGTTCTGTCCCTGCTGTTTTGTCTCCTTCGTGCCACCACCTCCACTCTGGCCTGGCCCACTGGATGCCCAGCCCCTGTCACGGGGCAGGGGCACAGGCTGAGGACGCACCTGGTCGCTGCGGGGGACCCCGTAGCGCAGCTTGTTCACGAAGTGCTCGCAGTTGGCGCTGGTCAGCTTGTAGAGCATCTCCTGCCCCACCAGCGCCTCCGCCCGCTGCACGATCTCTCTGGGCGGCAGCGGGGCGAACTCCCCGTCGTGCTTGTTGTTGACGCGGTACTTGTCTGTCCCGGCCACCTCGGACAGCAGCTCCTTCTTCACTGTGGCCTTGTCGGTCAGGGCGGACATGAGGCTGGCCGGCCCCGCTCCCGCGATTTCACCTGTGGTCCCCGGAGGGAAGGAGGGCGATGGTCGGGGCTGAGGGCGGGCCAGCAGGCAGCCCACTGCCTGGGCGTCATCCTGAGGACCAGCTGTGGGAAGGCCGGCCCCCTGCCTGGCTTCAAACTCAGACACAGGCCGACCCTCGCCGGGTGGCCTTGGAGCAGTCACAGTGCCCCTGACTCTGGCTGCCTCGTTTCTAACGCCAAGGTCGTGGGTTCTGCTAAAGGCCCGTGTGAGCGCAGATGGGCCTGAAAGATGCAGGAGGGGCAGAGCGGAGCAGGGCAGACACCAGGCACTAGCCCGCAGAGCAGGAGGGGGCCTCCGCAGACAGGGGACATGTTGTCAGCAGCAGGAAAGGAAGCTGTGAGCAAGCCCAGGCCTGACCTGCACACCCAGAGCCACCCCCACCCCCACCGTGTGGCCTCAGGCAAGTCCCTTCTCTCCTCAGGGCTCATCACTCACAGCCTGACAGGCCTGGGTCAGGAGGTGGCACCCTCTCCCAGCTCTCAATTCTCGGGTTTGCCCCTGACAGGACGCCGGCCTCCCGCCTCACCCAGGCTTCAGGGAAAGCTGAAGCGAGAGGGCAGTGATGGGCCCTGGGACCCTCACCAGTTCTTATTTGGTTCTTAAAATGGCATTTGCCCCTGGCCAGTGTGGCTCAGTTGGTTGGAGCATTGTCCTGTCCACAGAGAGGGCGAGAGAAACATCTCACATCAATGTATCTCTCTCTCTCTCTCTCTCTCTCTCTCTCTCTCTCTCTTTCTCCCCTCCCCTTCTCGAAAAATCAATGGAAAAAATATCCTCAGATGAGGATTAGCAAAAAAATAAAATGGTAAATTATTCCTCAATAAGCTAATTTCTTAAAGCCTGTGTTTGGCTTTAAAATTCACATGTGTATGCACACACCGTCAGTCACAAAACGCAGGCATGCATTTTATTTGGCCAGTTCCCCGCTGCTGAGAGGTTCCCACGCTCTCGGCCTTTGCTTTAATGCCACAATGCTCTGGGAGGGGAGGGAGGTTGGCCCAGCGCCCGCTAGGCACTGCCCATGCCCCACCCCATGCTGTCCATCCCACCCCTGCAGGACCGGGAGGCGATGTTCTCCTCTGCTCTGCAGAGGGCGCAGCTGAACTTAGGGGGTCCAGTCACACAGGCAAGAGGGATCCAAACAGGTTTGCCGGGTGGGAGGCCCACGCGGCTTCCAGGCCGCTGCAGCCCGCGGTGCGCTGTCCTACTCATGTGCCCCCAGAGCATCGAGCACACAGAAAGGGGTGCTTCCCGGGGACCGTGGTTGGCTGGAGGTGAACCCCAGAATTGCCTGGAACACAGGCCAGCTGACTTCTCTCCCCGAACTCGCTGCTGAGGAAGAGGAGCAGCTGCCAGACCTACCGGGAACGTCATGCAGCCAATGGGCACGGAGAGCCCCAGGCTAGGCACCGGGCCGGACAGCGCAGAGGGTGCACCTGCTAAACACACACACACACACACACACACACACACACACACCCCGCCCTGGGCCTGGCGGGGACCAGCTTACTTGGGGGGGCCAGGTGCACCACGTAGCCGTTCCCCACGTAGAGGGCCCAGTGCTGGTAGCCAAGGCGGAAGATCTCAATCAGGTCTCCAGGTTGCGGTTTGGCCTGTGACTGAGAAACCAGAGACAGGCTGAAGTTAGTCCCCACAGGGAACATTCTACCATGTTTCCCCGAAAATAAGGCATCCTCCGAAAATAAGACCTACTTACAGGTTTCCTTCTGAGTGAAATATAAGGCATCCCCCCGAAAATAAGGTCCCCCTAGGCTAAACATGAGAGATTTGGTCCACTGATTCTGAAAGAAATGGAGTCACAAGAAATTCACCAGGAAATTCAGGAATTGGATTGTTATGATGATGTTCCAGAAGATGATGACATGATTGTCATTGAATAAATGAGTAAATTCTTGATACTGTAGGATTCACAGTTTGTCTGGTTTGTGTGGACAACTACCGTACTACCGTACCGTATACAGGTAATAAATTTCCTTTATTTTCATTTAACAATAAATGTGCACCGTATTCTTCTTCATGGAAAAATAAGACATCCCCTGAAAATAAGACCTAGCGCATCTTTGGGAGCAAAAATTAATATAAGACACTGTCTTATTTTCGGGGAAACAGGGTAAAACCTGAGCTGGAAGGAGCCCAGCCCAGCCAGCGAGCTCCCTCTGACCAGCTCCTGCAGGAAACGGAAGAGGGCGCTCCTTGCTCAGATGGAAAGGCCTCCTTTGCTGGGGCTGCTGAGCTGGACCTGAGCTCTCGGGGACAAAGGAGAGATGGACAGGGTGTCTGGAGGGGAGGTGTGGGCGGGGGCGCAGCACGGGGTGTGGCCGAGAGGTGTGCAGACATGGGCGTGAGCACACGCTATGCCAGAGCATGTTGGTGTCGGAAAGTGAGTACATAATGCCCAGGAAGTCCCAAATGCCTCAGAAACACCGCCAACTTCGCCGGCCTGCGTGACTCTGAGTGATGGAGATGGTGCTCAACAGGACCCAGCTGGGGACCAGGGCGTGACTGGAGCTGGTGGCAGGGCAGTGCCCTTCTGGAGTCTGCATGAGCAGGAAGTATGTTGCCCTCATTCCACCGGGAATGAGAGACACGCCCTTATCACACAAGTTCTATTTTAGGATCGCTCCGTGCCGGCCAGCACCTCTCCCCCTGACGCAGCTGAGCGGGGTCCCAGGGCCCGACCACCATGAGCAGGGTGGGTGGCTGCCGCTGGGTGGCGTGAGGATGGCTGCCAACTGAAAGTCTGCTGGGGAGACATGGTTGAGAGAAAATCTTTTGACTACAGGCGTCAGGCATCAACCTGGAGAAGATGGAACAATCTGAGCATCAGAAAGGAACATAGCAGCCGAAACCAGTGTGGCTCAGTGGATAGAGCGTCAGCCTGCAAACTGAAAGGTTCCAGGTTCGATTCCGGTCAAGGGCATGTACCTTGGTTGTGGGCACATCCCTAGTAGGGGGTGTGCAAGAGGCAGCTGATTGATGATTCTCTCTCATCGATGTTTCTAACTCTCTATTCCTCTCTCTTCCTCTCTGTAAAAAATCAATAAAATATATATATTTTTTTAAAGTAACACAGCAGATCGTGAACAATGATACCGATGTGCTCACGATGGTGCTTTAAACAATGCGCTAGTCACCTTGGGAGGATGCGAAAGAATCACCATATTGTTTCAAAAGCTGGTAAATAAAGGAAAAGATTCAAGCATCTCCTAAGTGAACTGTACTCCGACAACCAAGTTCAAAATGACAGCGAATCCCAAAGCTACAAAACAACACTTAAAAGATGGCTACAGCCTTAACCGGTTTAGCTCAGTGGATAGAGCGTCGACCTGCGGACCCAAGGGTCCCAGGTTCGATTCCAGTCGGGGGCATGTACCTTGGTTGCGGGCACATTCCCAGTTGGGGGCGGGGGGAGGCAGCAGGCAGCTGATGGATGTTTCTCTCTCATCAATGTTTCTAAGTTTCCCTCTCTTCCCCTTCCATATATTGCTCCTTCCTCTCTGTAAAAAAAAAAAAAAAAAAAAAAATCAATTAAAAGTATATTTTTAAAAAGGTGGCTAAACTTCTATATGCAAAGGAGTAGAAAAGACGGGAAGGGGGGCGTGCAGGGGACTTTAGCCTCAATGTGAGGCTTCCATTTGGGTTTGGGGGACTGACAAGGAAAACGTGCTCACGTATTTGAGGCAGAGATGAAATGAAAAGCTTTGGCGCGGTGTCGGGCTGCGGCGAGCATTGGGAAACGTGGCTGTCCTGGAGGCAGAGGAAGGAGCGGCATGTGGAAGGGGAGGAGAGGGCGGAGAGAGAAGCAGAGGGGCAGGCACGCTGCTTGGAGATGAGGGTGGACAAGAAGGCCTGCCTGCAGCCCCTCCTCGGCCCACCCGCTGGGAGCCGTTCTCCTGGCCCCTCCCTCCCAGCTCGTCCCAGCCACACAGGCCAGTGTGACCGAGGAGAGGGGCTGGGCAGTGGGCAAGGCTGCCCCCCGGAGCCCACCAATCCCGCCTCCTCAGGACGCTCGGGGAGCCCTCCCACCCCGGGTAGCGGACCCTCGGGCCCTCGGTGCCAGAGCTGCGGACCAGCAAGGAGACCCACGTCATCACACTGACAGGGCTGCGGGGACTTACCAGAGCCATCCTTCCGTGCAGGAGAGTCTGCGTGCTGCTGCCTCAGGGCCAGCCTTCTGTGGTCAAGAGTTTCGTTTCCCGTCTGACCCTGCCCAGGAACACAAACACCTGTACACAAAGCCATGTGACACGTCCTCTGTGAGCCGTGTGTCCAGGTGACCTGCAAGGTATGACTCAGTAAGAGGAGGGTCCATCTCTTCCACATTTAGATGTAGCATGTATTACCTTATGCTACTAATAAAATACAGAAATTTTTTAAAGTGAAAAACGCAAATCAAAGACCACACAAAACCTGCTCTTGGTTCAAAGCAGGGCCAGGCACAGGCCAGGGAGACACGTAGGCCTGGTAACCCGCCAGAGAGAAAGCAAAGTCCACATGCTGAGCCGGAAGGGCTCGGTGGTGGCCGCGGTCAGCTCCCGGTCATAAGTCACCAAGTCTCAGGTCCCAGGGAAGAGGAGAGAGGAGCAGCTGGTCAGGTGGGTGTGGGGGCAGGGATGGAGAGACAGAGGAGGGAGGAGCTTTCAGGAGACCCGACACGGGGACTGACCATGACCAGAACACACCGCCACTTCCACCAACCTCACTGCCCCGCACTGGAGGCCCCCTCGCTCCTCCCCTCCCCCTCCCCGCGGCCCACAGTTCAGAAACACATCCCAGACCAATTGGAAACTCAAATCCACACCAGCGTGCTACCCCATCCAAAGCCCCAAATAGGATTCTCTCACTGACACCCCCCTGTGGGCTGCAACATCCTGGGCAAAGGGGGGTAGGGGGAAGGGGGAGGGCCCTCAGCATCCTCATCCTGCGGCATGGTGGAGTCGTAGCCAATGTCTTGTCTGTGATGGTCTTGCTCTTAGAAAATATTTCCCCCGTATAAATGTGCCCCTTAAACAATATATATGTATTTAGTTTGCTTGTTTTGAATGTGGTAAAATCAGAATCAAGTGTCTTACATTGCATAACTTGATGTCTGCTCATATTAGGTTCCTTGTTGAATCATGTTCATTCAGTAGGGGATGTGCAAGAGGCAGCTGATCGATGATACTCTCTCATCAATGTTTCTAACTCTCTATCCTCTCTAAAAAATCAATAAAAAATATGTTTAAGCCGAGACCGGTTTGGCTCAATGGATGGAGCGTCGGCTTGGGGACTGAAGGGTCCTGGGTTCGATTCCGGTCAAGGGCATGTACCTTGGTTGCAGGCATATCCCAAGTAGGGGGTGTGCAAGAGGCAGCTGATCGATGACTCTCTCTCATCGATGTTTCTAACTCTCTATCTCTCTCCATTCCTCTCTGTACAAAATCAATAAAATATTTTTTTAATTATTATATATATATATATATGTTTAAAAAAAGGGGGGGCGGGGGGTGCCTGGAAATCTAGTCTGTTGCCCTAGATATCCAGCAGGGGAATCTTGAAACCTATAAGAACCTTTGAATCCCCACCAGGCAGGGCGCTGAGACTAGCTGAGTTGCTCGCTTGTGCTTTATGCGAAGTGTATTTTTAATAAATGTCCTTGCTTTGCTTTAACACTGCTTTTGGTCACTCCTCTGAATTCTTTCTCCAATTCAAGAATGACAAGTATGACCTTCTTCAACTTCATTAGAGAAATAATGCAAAATTAAGTTTCCCGCGGGCAGTACAGCGGAGTCACAATCGCTCACCATCTTTTTAAGTGTGTGCCAGCATGGTAGTCATAGCATGGGATCTGTCCACATTTCTATGTGATTGGACATTTGTATTTACTCCTGTGAGCTCTGAGGGTGTTTCCAGAAGAAATTAGCATTTAAATTAGTAGACTGAGTAAAGGTGACTCACCAATGTGGGCAGGCATCATCCAATCCACTGAGAGTCCAAACAGAACGAAGAGGTGGAGAAAAGACTAACGCTCTCTCTTAGTGAGCTGGGATGGCCATCTATGATGCCCTTGGACTTCACAGTTCCTGTTTTTCCAGGCTTTGAACTCCAGAGTTTACACCAATGGCCTTAACACCTTATTTTCGGTCCTTCAGCCTCTCAACGAATTACGCCACTGGCTTTTCTGGTTCACTGCTTGCAGCCTCCTTAGCCAGGTGAGCCAATTCATGCACTAAATCTCATTTATCCATATCTGTGTCCATATCTATATCCTATTGGTTCTTCTTCCCTGAGGAGCCCTAACAAAATTCAACCTAGTAAATTTGAAGATCTACTTGGCTTTATGAAGGAATTTATGAATGGGGCAACATCTCATCCAGCAGGCACATACCGTAGGCAATGTTTAACATAAAAACATTCAAACCTGTAAAGATTTTTGTGAGTTTATTTGCGCCAAACTGTCGGCAATTGCCGGGAAGCAGAATCTCCACGGACTGGGATAATGCTCCAGACTCCAGAGCATGGTGGTTTTTCACCTATTTTTATACATTGCAATCAAAGGAGGGGACATGGGAGGTTTACAAGAAATCCACTGGTGATGAATTAGGGAGCAGAAGAAAGCAAAGTGAGGAAACGTCTGGGATTGGGTAAAAAGTAAAAGATAGACACATACTTAGGTGGGTACAGGATTGTCAACAGTCATCAATTAACATGATAAAAATAACTATGAAGGAGTTTATGGTATCTGCCCTGGCACCCAGGCACGTCAGGTTGTGCCTGGAGGGGTCCAGAAAAAGGGAAGTTACAAGTTGCCCAGGTATTTCAAGGATATGTTACCAGAGATACAAAAAGACAGCCAAAACCAGTTTGGCTCAGTGGACTGAAGGGTCCTGGGTTCAATTCCGGTCAAGGGCATGTACGTTGGTTGTGGGCGCATCCCCAGTGGGGGGGTGCAGGAGGCAGCTGATCAATGATTCTCTCTCATCGATGTTCCTAACTCTCTATCTCTCTCTCCCTTCATCTCTGTAAAAAATCAAAAAAATATATTAAAAATAAAATAAAAAAGACAGGCTCGGTTAAGGTAAAGGCTGACCTTGTCAGTGAAGATACCGGCCTAGGAGGTGACCACCCACCATCACTGCTTTTAGTTAAAGTTTCATGTCAGACCATCGTTTTGATGACTTCAGGTCTCTGAGTTCGCAAGATGGCCGTGCAGGCCTCCCCTGAGTCTGTCAGGTCAGCATGTGGCCCCTCTCGCCCATAGCACTCTGCGGGCTTGTACAAAATGGAAAGTGTTTTATAGGTAAAAGGGTAGGGCAAGAGAGCTCTCAACAAAAGAAAAGACTATTTTTTTAGATCGAGGCCTGGGTTTGGGGGAGAGAAAGGGAACAGCGAGGCTTTTTATCATGCAGTTGCCTCTTTCTATGGGGGAGGAGGGAGGGGAATGAGCCTACAGGACCGATTGCTTTACCGGTGCCCGACCAGAAAACTCCACATTGGTTGATTAAGATTCAATTTCCGGAAGAGGCTGACACTACAGTCAAATCAGGTATTAAATCTAGGGTTGGTATCATGGGATTTTAGCACAAGCGATGCCTTTTGGGCCTACAGTGTTCTCTGTACAGTGTGTCGGTGCAAGAAACATTCAAACTTGTAAGAATTTTTATGAGTTTATTTCATCCAAACTGATAACAATTGCTGAGAAGCAAAATCTCATCAGATTGAACAAATGCTCTAGAAAATGGCAGTTTCATCACTTCTTTTATACATCAGAGAGAGGAAAGAGAGAAACATCAATTTGTTGTTCCACTTGATTGATTCATTGGTTAATCCTTGTAGGTGATTTGACCCGGGGTCAAACCCGAAACCTTGGCACATCAGGACAACGCTCTGACTGACTAAGCTACCTGACCAAGGCTAATGCTTGTGTTTTACGTGGCAAGTTTAACCCATTTGCATTTATGCTGATTACCAATATATTTGGAATTGGTTCTTCCATCTTACTTAATTATTTCTACACATTCCCAGTCGTTGTTTTTTTTAATGCAATTTGTTAATGTATTTTTTTAATGGAACGGGGTGTTTCTGTTTTGCTTTCTTGTGTTTTGAGAATGAAGAGGATAAAATGGAATAAGCGTAGCTCAGAGAGTCACTTAAAATGGAGGGAGTTGAGCCCAGCCGTTGTGGCTCAGTTGGTTGAATGCTGTCCTGTGCACAAAAAGTTGCATTAGATTCCCTGTCAGGGCACACACCCAGGTTGCTGGTTCGATCCCCAGATGTGTGCCCAGCAGGAGAAGGCTGGCACAGAGCCATCTGGACGTCCTGAGGAAAGGAAAGGGTGCCTGGGCTCCTCTCTTTTCATCGGCAAGCAGGGAAGAACCCTGGGCCTTCCTAACCAAATCTTCACTAAGGCAACCAACCGCAGGGCTAGGCACACGCAGACCCTGCACTGGCTCCCACTAACGGACACTGCCTACCACAGAGCGTCTGTTCTCTCTTCCTCCTGATCAAGAGTCCTCTCAAGAATCTCAAAACTCTGATCAGGTATGATAGTGAAATTAATGCTTTGTTAGCCACACATTGGTCTTCTCCTACTATCAACATAAGCTTTGGTTATTGTTAAAAATAAAAATAAAAAGAGTCTCAAAGAAATTCGATCGTTTTCACAGCCGGAGGTTCAGCAGCGACTCAACCTCAGCTTTTCCGTGTCCCTCCCAGTTGATGTCAGACAACCATGGGCACATGTGTCCCTCGTCGTAACTTTTAGTGTCAAAGGAACCTTCACTTACTTCTCTGCCTGTGTGAGCCTCCCTCTCTCCCCCCAGTCAGAGCACTGTTTCAGGGCTAGCCCTCAACCAGTCTTCAATAGAACTCTCTTCTTAAGTTTACAGAGTCCGTTTTCTCTTCCTTGGCAGGATTCCAACAGACAGATGGTGTCCTGACAGCCAGGGCTGACCAAGGAAGCATTCGCAGCACTAGGAGGGTATCTCTGAGGGACCCACAAAAGCCCCTTTTAGAGAAACGGTCACTTAGGACGCCTGAGCCCACAGGGCAGAAGCAGACCTCAAAGGACTCGCCAGAGGGGTCCTTCTTTCCCCCAACACCTCCCAGGAGAGTTGGACAGCAGAGAGGTCAGGCTTGGGGCTTGCCACACCCCCAACCCAGAAGGTGGCCCCAACAGGAAAGAGCTGATTGGCCTGGTAGGGTCACCTGACCCAACCGCAGCCAATCAGTAGGCTGAACTAGAATGTGGCGAGCTGATTCTCTATCAAGAATCTAAACTAGGAGCACCTGACAGGCAGTGGCAGGGATAGAGCTGAGCTGATATGGGAAGAAGGGGCCAAAGGAAGGGATGTAGGATCAGAGACTTCGGGATGGTCCCAAGCCCAAGGGTGAGGAAGCAGGAGTTCTGGGGGTGGGGTGGGGAATGAGGGAAAGCAACAAAGCAGAGGAAAGATGTGAAGAGCAGAGGGGTAATAAGGCTGATTTTAAGATTGGCAAGAGCATAGATTGAGTTTCTTTATGGCAAAGGTTTGGTTTGGTTTGGTTTGAACTCCAGGGAACATCTGCAGACTCTGGCTGCTGAGACTAGAAGCCATCCTGCGTCTAGTTCCAGGCCAAGATCCTGACCATCCCGTGGTTCCTGTTCTTGTATATCAACAAGGTGCAGTCCAGTGTGTCTGTCCTCAGCTACCATTCCTTGAGGAGTTGGACTGTGTCCTGCAGGGTAAAGAACGCAGCCGCAAAGAGAAAGTGAAAGGACATCCCCAAAGGGCCCGGGCACAAACTGGCATCACCAGAACCAGAGCTCAGCGGCGCCCTCAACGGACTGCATACCAGGCCGTTCTGGCTGCATTTTCCCCAATAAAATCCTCCGTCATTATGCTTTATTTAATTCTGTGAAAATACGCCTTGTTAGAAAAACAGAAGGAAATCCCTAAACCAAACCTCAAAACCTCTAGCCAAACAAGATCCCGTTATGTTAGTAAAGTAATGGCTGGCAGGATGGTCCCTTCCACTTATTGCTTCTGTCGCTTGTTTCTTGAGATCACGGCTCCAATGAGGCCCACGGCTGCCAAGCCCACTCCTGCGATGCCCGCCGCCATGATGGCATCTCTGACCTGCAAGAGAGGGGAGGCGGGTCAGACACTGTGCCAGTTCTCTGAGTTTAGGCTGTGCAGTCAATAGCAATGTTCAGCTCCAAGGGCCTCGCATGCCCCTCGGTCTCCATAACAAACTCAGAAGTCAACAAATATTGGCAAGGGAACGGGGTGGAGAGGGCTGGATGGGGAAAGCTTCGGCGGATGGAGCCAGCTGGCCAGGGACAGACCTGGACTTGAAGAGGGAAACTCGATTCACCCTGCGGGCATTTAAAGCACATGAGTCGCAGAGGATGGCTGTGGAGAGGACAGGGAGATGGAGGCAGGATGGCAGCGGTCCTGGCTGGCCAGCGGGGAGCCCTGGGAGCTAGTGTGAAGTCCAGAAGGAATTGCTACTGCATCATCAATCAACTCTGACCCCCATGAGGGCAAGGACCTCACACGTCTCGTTGATTGCCATAGCTCCAGGGCCCGGCCAGGGGCCTGACCAGGCGCAAGCGACACCAGCTCCTGTGATCACGCAAAGGGGGAGCAAGCTCCCTCCTCAGCAACTGTTCCCAATGGAGGCACACAGCCCCCGTCAGCAGAGCGGGACTTTTTCCCACTGAAGGCTTGAAAGCGTGTCTTGAGCACAAATCGAGAAATCTCACGCCAAAACCAAGCCAGGCAGAATCATTAAAGGAAGTTAATTCACTAATTAATTCACTTAAAGAAGAACTGCAGCCGGGACTGGTTTGGCTCAATGGATAGAGTGTCGGCTTGGGGACTGAAGGGTCCCGTGTTCAATTCTGGTCAAGGGCATGTACTTTAGTTGCGAGCATATCCCCAGTGGGGGGAGGGGAGGTACAAGAGGCACTGATCGATGACTCTCTCTCATCGATGTTTCTAACTCTCTATCTCCCTCCCTTCCTCTCTGTACAAAATCAATAAAATATATTTTTTTAAAAGAAGAAGAAGAAGAACGGCAAAGGAAAAGATTCTTAATCGTTGTATGCCAAGAAGTCCAATGAAGACAGTGTATCAAGAATGCCAGGAATAAGAAGGACGAAAATGTGGACTTGATACCCTGGACCCACCCACATGCTTACGTGACATGGTCACCACTGCCCTTGCTACCTAACCACGGAGCTTGCCCGGATTGTATGTGTGTGGCTGCCACAGCCCCCTGGTGGCCAGTGCAGAAAAGAATTTGGAGGTCCTCTGTGGATATATACACTGAGTGGCCAGATGATGGTGATCTCTGAACGCATAATCATCTGGCCACGCAGTGTATATCTTATAGAATAAAAGGCTAATGTGCAAATTGTCCCCTGGACCAGGAGTTCGACCAGCAGGCAGGCCAGCCAACCACCCATGTTCTCTCCCCCTGGCCAGGCTGGCCGGACCTCACCCATGCATGAGTGTATGCACTGGGCCTCTAATACACACACACACACACACACACACACACACACACACACACTGAGTATTATGCATTCAGAGATCATAATAATCTGGCACTCAGTGTATATGCCCAATGTGTCCAGCTGTGTGAGACTCAGGAGATACACCCGTGTATCTAAGGTGACGAGGCACCCTTCGCTGATGTTCTCAGCAGCCAGAAAACACGGTGACAGGAAGCTACCGACCTGCTGTTGGCCTGCTGCTCAGCCTTTAAACTTTCCCCTAAAAGGCCATGAGGCGCGGCTCTGTGGCTGCACTGGCTCTGCTGGTGGGCTCGCCAGGAAGTGGGTGTAAAACCACCGCGCCCCGTGTTTTCCTGGCTCAGCTCTGTGTCAGGCGGGAGACGTGGTTGGCGGGTGATGGAGGAGGCCCCCGGTGCCCCAGTTCCCTACAGAGAAGAGATGCTGATGCCGCTGGATCCTATAAAGGATGCTTTGTCCGGGGAAACAACAGCAACCCATTGTCTGCGGTGCGCAGAGTGGTGAAACCCAGGAAAGTGCCCTCTGGTTAGACCTGGGAGTGCGAATGTCACAGGAAAACCGTCCTGAGCGTCGGCGCCACTGCAGGTGCCACGGATGGCTCTCTGGGGCGAGGCTGTGGGTCCAGCCCAGCCTCCGTGCTGAAGCCACCAGGGTCCTGACACGGACATGGCTGCACAGTGTGCGTCACCAGAATGCCATGAAGAGGAGACGCTAAGAAATCCATCTTTTTTTTTTTTTTTAAGTTGACAAACTGAAATACTGTCACACTACAGAAAATTCGCTGTCTATGTTACTACACAGCTTCTCTCCATTGAGCACCAGGATTGTTTCTGGGGAAAAAGAAAATTCTAAGGTGCTTTCTGCAAATCCAGTAATGTTCTGGGTGGATAAAGGAACAGTGTTATTCTCATAGCAATTGGGTTTTGACCATAAGAGGTTACGAAATAAAAATGGGTATAAAGTATTTGTATAGAAATCTAACTTTAATAATTACAATAATAAAAAATAATTCCTTGCAACTTATCCAGTTTATGTAATGTGTGTGTTACCATTGGCCACATCTTCAATTTCTCTTTATCCTAACACTTTATCTGACGAAGAGTAGACTTCATTATGAGTGTGGCTCCTAGTTGCTTTTTGAAGTCCTATCCGCAGGCCAGAAGAGATGGGCAAAAAATGTTCATAAAGTAATGAAAAGCAAGGCTTTACAACCAAGATTACCCAGAAAAGCTGTCATTTAGAATTGAAGGACATATAAAGAGCTTCCCAGACAAGAAGTTAAAGGAATTCATCACCACCAAACCCTTATTGTGGTGCAATGTTAAAGAGTATTCTTTAAGAAGAAGAAAAAATATATTAAAAATATGAACAATAATATGTCAATAAATACATGTCTATTAACAAGTGAATAATTATAATCAAGTGACCATTATAATCGGTCTACTGAACAACCAGTTGACTGGTCACTATTCACTATGACACACACTGACCATCACAGGGTAGACACTCAATGCAGAAGCCGCCCCCTGGTGGTCAGTGCACTTCCACAGCCAACCTCCCATCAACAGCCATCCTCCCATGGTCCCGCCCCCCCATCCATCCAGCCTGATTGGCCCCAATCGGCCCCAATTGCCAGCCAGGCCAAGGGACCCCACCCATGCACAAATTTGTGCACTGGGCCTCTAGTATAAGATAAATGAAGAAGCAGAACAGAAACAGACTCATAGATATAGAAAATATTTTGATGGTTGCTAGATAAGAGGGAGTCAGGGATAGATTAAAAAAGTGAAGGAATTAAGAAGTACAAATTGGCCCTAGCTGGTTTTGCTCAGTGGATAGAGTGTCAGCCTGTGGACTGAAGGGTCTCAGATTCTATTCTGTTGGGAGGAATATGTCGATCAATCATTAATGTTTCTATTTCTCTCCTTCCCTTACCCTTCCTCTCTGAAATCAATTAAAAAAAAATATTTAAAAATAAAAAAATAAAGCACAAACCACATTTTAGTCTAAATCCATTATTTCCCTTTCTTTAATATATATATATATATATATATATATATATATATATATATATATATGACATTTCCAACATCCACTAAACCACCGTGCTCATGAGATGGGAGACATGTGGAAGTTACCTTTTAGGTGGCTCACATCATGTATTAGGACCGTTACTCACCAGGCCGGTAGTTCTCAGCTGGGGACCGGTTTGCCTTGCCCTCTGGGGGAAATGTGGCAACAGCCCAGACATTTTGTTTCTCACACCTGGCGGTGAGGAAGTGCTACTGACACCCGGTGTGCAGAGGCCACGGGTGCTGCTAACCACCGTGCAATGCACCAGAGCAAGTCGTGACCATGAATTGTCTTCATTGTCATAACCCAAAATGTCAATAGTATTGAGGCTGATAAACCCTCATTTTTAGGCCAAGAAATGAAAGAGGGGGTCTTTGGAAACAGTATAGATGGCACTTCTGCTTTGTAATATATTCTGGTTTCTTTTTTTTTTTTTTTTTTTTTTTTTTTGTGAGGGGGTCCAGTAGAATTGTTTATGCTATTTTATTGTTGCTGTAGTCATTGTTTTTACCTTTCCATAGAGTATTAGTCTATTAATAATCAATAGAAAATAATGAACAATGAGATGACTAGGAGGTAGTTTATAAATCTACCAAATCTTCCTAATGCAGCACCCTGAATGTATAGAGTATCTTATTGCTTTCAAGTTTCCACAGTGACTTTTACTTTAAGTTTATTGCTGCATAGGAGTATGGGAATTTACCTGAAGTAAAAGCCACCTGGGAATGCGGACCTCAATTGTTAGGCAGTATCACCAATAACAAAAACAGATCTATTTAGCGTAAGTTTCTCTTTTTATGTGATAGTGTCACTGCTTCTTTTTAGAAAAACTTCTTTCATACCCAAATCTATCAACAAGTGTTCATTTTCTAATTTTAAATAAATAAATAAATAAATAAATGGAAAACAGGACAGAGATAATAACAAAATCAGAGGAGCAGTATGGGGGTCCAACACTGGAATAATTGGAGTTTCAGAATGAGAGAAGAGAGAATGGAGCATTTCCAAGAACTGAAGGAAAAGGGTTTCCAGAGTGGAAGGAATCATCGAGTGCCCAGCACAATACATAAAAACAGATACTCCCAGGTATAGCATCGTGAAATTTCAGAGCACTGAGGGAAAAGAAAAGATTCTGTAAAGAAAAAGTAGATCACTTTTAAAGGATCCAAAATCTGAACCATTTCAGACTTCTCGTCAACAAGAGCATTAGTTACTTGACAATGAAGTGATGCCTTCAAATGCGGGGGGGAGGGAGATATACTCTTCCACCCCATCCCGGCCCACCAGATGCCCAGCCCCCGTCGCGGGGGGATGTCTGGCTCCCGGGGCAGGGACGCAGGCTGAGGACGCACCTGGTCGCTGCGGGGGACCCCGTAGCGCAGCTCGTTCACAAAGTGCTCGCAGTTCTCGCTGGTCAGCTTGTAAAGCATCTCCTGCCCCACCAGCTCCTCCGCCCGCTGCACGATCTTGCTGGGTGGCAGCGGGGCGTACTTCTGGTCGTGCTTGTTGTTGACGTGGTACTTGTCTTTGCCGGCCACAAAGTACAGCAGCTCCTTCTTCACTATGGCCTTGTCGGTCAGGGCGGACATGAGGCTGGCCGCCCCTGCTCCCGCGATTTCACCTGCGGTTTCAAAGACGAGACTGAGCGACGGCCCAGGGCTCACAGCAGCCCTCCTGCTGGGCACACACACACACACACACACACACACACACACACACCCGGTGCCCCCGCTTGGCAGACTCAGCACAGATATTTCAAATAAAATAAACGGTGATCGACAAGCTCCTTCAGGGCAGATGAGCAGGTGTGGAAAGGAAAAGAGGGGAGGGTCAGACACATGCTGTGTGGCTTTGGAGCAGGTGCTTGCGGTCCCTGGGCCCTGGTTTCCTCATCTGCAATCAGGAGCAGGGAAGGGCCATGATTTGTGGTGATTTTGTTTTAACCGAGAGAGGCTGGCCTTCCACAGCCCGTGCCGCCTCAGAGGCCCTCCGGTTAGGCAGACATGGGCCCTGCGAGCACCCATGACATGGGCCCTCCGGGTTAGGCAGTCCTGGGCCCTGCCCGCACCCGTCTCCCTGGGCGGACGGAGTGTGAACCTCCTGCGATCCTGTCGGGCCACACTTCCTTGGCGGACACAAAGCTGACCACGGTAGGAATGCGGAGGACCTGCACACGTAGTTCCCGCCCTTCTGGGAGCAAAGGGACCGAACCCCACGGCTGCTGCCTGCGAGGCGAGGCCAGGGTGGCCCAGTGGGCTCCTTGGCTCGGCCCTGGCCTGGGCTGAGGGGCTGGAAGGGGCAACATAGCGGCATTCAGAAGCCATTGCCCAAACCAACCGCCTTCTTGCAGCTCTCGGGACCCACTGCCAGTCCGGGAACAAAGAGCACCCTGGGTCACCTTTGCCCACAGCTCCCCATCCCACCCCCCACCCCCACCCCGCCCGGCCCCAGCACAGCAGGGGCCCTGGCGTCCTTACTTGGGGGGGCCAGGTGCACCACGTATCCATCCCCCACGTAGATGGCCCAGTGTCGGTAGAAGGGGCGGAAGATCTCAATCAGGTCTCCGGGGTTGGGCTCTGCCTGCGAACCCAAGAACAGGGCTGTTAGAGGCGGGGGGAGCGAGAGGGAACCCTGGGCAGAGGCGGGGTCCCAGCCCGATGCTGTCAGATCAGAAGCATGTCCCGCAGAGGCTCCACAACCCGACTGGGGCCTGACCCTGACGGAGGACTGGTGATGAGTGCACGCGTGTGCATATGTGTGTGCGTGGGCATATGTGTGTGCATGCATGTGTGTGCATGTGTGTGCGTGCATGTGTGTGTGTGCGCGCGCATGCGTGTGTGAGTCTGTGTGCGTGTGTGTGTGTGTGTGTGTGCATGTGCAAGGGAAGGTGGAGAGGGGGCTGAAATCCCGCTTAGAGGCCCACCCTGTTCGGGGAGCGCAAACAGAGGTTCAAGATCACTCTCGTTCAGTATTACTGAGGTGCCCGCACGGTGTGCTAAGTGCTGGGGTGGGGACACCGGGACTGGGGCCGGAACCAGGGTGAGAGCCTCTCTGGCCCAAGTCTAAGGAGCCTGGAAGCCATCCCTTCAGGACTCACATGGCGCAGGGCAGGTTGGGGGGTGCCCACATCCCACCCCAAGCTTTTTGCCTCCTGAGAGATGCCATCAGAGCGGGGAGGGCAGCACGAGGCAGCCATGAACAGACTCCTTAGGGATAAGAAGGTAGACAGCAGGATCAGCCAGTCGCATCCCCAATGCCTGAGAGGCAAGGTCCACGGCAGTCCACATTCATTTATAGGAACCTAAAAACTGAACCCTCACAAATGCACACATGGTCCAGGGTGGGGGGCATTGGTAAATATTTTCAAAGGAATTTTACAGACACTTCTCTTGGGCAGACATTATCTTTTACGTTTCCAAATACACACAAGCTTAAAACAGGATCCCACCCCAGAAACTTCACTTTAAAGAGAAGTAAAAGGAGGTGGACGTGCCCACGGAGCCCTGCGCACTGGTTAGATCGCTGTTCCCATGGCAACCAGGGCCCCCTTTTAGGCGCAGCGCCGGGCGGAATGTGAGAAGGAGAGCCGCAACGCGATCGCACCTCCATCAATTAAAGATGCCCTGCGGCCCCGGAGCGCACCGCTCAGGAGAGCCATCCTGAGCGAGTAAGTCTCAAACAGCAGCAGCAGCAGCAAGAAAAGGATGGCCGGCGCCCAGAGCCCGCTGGGACAGCGCGGTGCAGGCCACTGGGAAGACGGGCGAGGCGACCGACGGAGCCACCGCCCATCAGCGCGGGCTGCCGTGGGCCGGCCGCCAGGAGCCGGACCTGGCTCTCCGTCGGGCGCTGAGAGCCCATGGGGGACAGGAGCCTCGTAACGGTCACGGCCACGCCAGCGCACCCAGACCAAGGCCCCAGGAGACCGCTGTTGAGGGCGCGGCTCACGCGCCGTGGTCCCGGCCAGCTCCCTGCCTCTGCTCGCTTCTGGGGCAAGCGCAGGGCGGTCTCTACGCTCGTCCAGGGGCTGGAGGGACAGCAAGAGACTACCGTCCGGTGACACGTGACATTCACACGTCAAACTGCATGTGCCAACGTCCACCCCCGCACCTGCACTGTCCCCGGTGCTCCCTACAGGTCACTGGGTGGGACCACGGGCCTGGGGCCTGACTCCTCACGTTCGGGCCTTTACAGAAGGGTTGGAACGCCTGTCCTAAAGGGGTGGCCCTGCGGCCGGCCTCCCTCGGCCGGGGGACCCGCAGGAGGCGGGGAGAGCTGCCCCCTCAGGGCAGGGCTGGGGCCCGCGGGCAGCACCGGAACCGGGGCCCCTCACCCAGCCCAAGCGGGGACCGTGGTGAAGCTGAGCCTGCACCCACGAGATTGAGGACAAAAGCCTTTAGCCTCCACACAAACACAGCCACCAAGGGCTGGGCCCAGCCGTTTTCCTGAGCAAGCAGATTAAATAAAACACACCTCTGGCCTCCAGTGTTGGCATTGGGAAAACAATCTAAACAGCCATTGACAAAAACCAACTGAGTAAGCTAGTCCACACCCATATGCACAGCCGCTAGAGAGAAGCAGGTGGATTTTCACCAGCAAACATGGAAATAATCGAAAAAAGTATGCCGAGAAACATAATTATCTCCATTTTTGCTTAAAATACATGTTTCTACATTTATAAAGCAACATGTATTGTATAAAAAAAACACACACACAAACTGTTGTGGGGAGAAGGGCAGGACTTTAATATTTTATACTGTATGATTTAATTGGGTTTTTACCAAGATGAATTCCTTCCATAAGGAAAAATGTTTTAAGATGTTTAGATGGGCAAAAACCCCTTATGATGATGAACTTGCATTATTTTAGTGAAAAAGGAGGACATTATCTTGAAACCATCTCCCATCTGGATCTGCAACTCTGATCACGTTACTGCTGCTAAAAAACAAGTAATACTGCCCAGCATCGACCTATAAACCAGGAGTTCACGGGTTCGATTCTCTGCCAGTAAATATGCTAATACACTTCCGTAAGCATGGGGGAAATGCCATAAGCAGACTGGCATGGCCAATTGGGAGAAAATTACAGAAAAACGGTTAATATCTTTAACAGATAAAGAGTTTTTATAAATCCATAAAATAAATTTCAAGTCCTAGCTGGTTTGGCTCAGTGGGTAGAGTGTCGGCCCTTGGCAATTTGCCTCACCAGCCTTAACAATATTAGTGGGATGTGCCGAAACCGGTTTGGCTCAGTGGATAGAGCGTCGGCTTGGGGACTGAGAGGTCCCGGGTTTGATTCCGGTCAAGGGCATGTACCTTGGTTGCGGGCATATCCCCGGTGGGGGGTGTGCAGAAGGCAGCTGATCGATGACTCTCTCTCATCGATGTTTCCAGCTCTCTATCTCTCTCCCTTCCTCTCTGAAAAATCAATAAAAATATATTTATAAAAAAACACAATATTAGTGGGATGTAAGGCAAAGAGGAGCTGCAATTCTGACCCAGGGCCAGCCTCGGCCGTGGGCACTGGGCAGGCCTGAGAGGGAAGCAAGGGCACTTTTAGAGGGATTTTCAGTCCAAGGGCTGAAACACAGCCAAGGGGATGCTTTTCACTGGAGACCACGAGGCATGTCCCAGTCCGCCCGCCCTCTGCCCCCCCCCCCTGCGCCTGCCACTTGGGTTTTGTATAAGGTGACCAGATTTTTAACAATTTGTCCCGCAGTGTTTTTAAAAAGGCCTGATTTTTGGAAAAGGTTCTTTCCAAAAATCAGGAGTTTTTTAAAACGCCGAGGGACGCAGGACAAATTGTTAAAAATCGGGACTGTCCCACCAAAAGCGGGACGTCCGGTCACCTTAGTTTTATAGGGGAATATTCCAGGGGTAGGAAAAGCGCAGAGCGGGCTGTTTCAGTCGAGGTGGAAATAGTCTTCAGAGACAGGACACTGGCCTTGTAGACAGCACATGTGCGTTTCTCTAATTATCTTCAGCTGAGCTCTGGGCCACAGGCAGAGCCACGCCCTGGGAACAGGCTTTGCCCTGGGAACAGGCTTCACCAAAAAGGGTGGAGTGTTGTCAGCACTGACATTTACCTTTGCCCAGCTGTCTTTGACATGTAAATCCAATCACCAGGAATGCTCGGGCCTACTCTTGAATGCAAATAAGCTCCTTTGATCCTAAGTTTTGGTGATACTTCCTGGCATTTGGGGGATATAAATAAACTCTCTGCATGAGCTCAGGGTCCCTCGGGGTCCCTCAGGGTCCCCCCATCAGAGAGGATGGCATCCCACCTGGCTCCCAGCTTTGCTTCTATCTTTCTATCTGGTCTCTTTCTTTTATTTCTTAATCCCCAGCCACCTCCACTCAGGAACCAGGCCTGCTCCTTTTCTTGCTTCCGGGGAAAAGAGAGAAACACCCCACAGGCCACAGCCTGGGGCTCAGAGCCAGGCAGTCTGGGTTCAAATCCCGGCTCTGCTCCTCACTAACTGGATAGCCTGGGGCAAGTGACTCCGCTTCCTCCACTGTAAAATGGGAGTCACTGCAGCACCTGATTCGTGGAGGTCTCCTGAGGATCAAATAAGTTCAGACCTGTGACACACTCAGCAAGTACTGCCCGCCATGTAGGGCACCTTCTAGAGGTGGCAGGGGGTTTTGTTTGTTTGATTTTGAGAGAGAAAGAGACATGGATTTGTTGATTCGCTTATTTATGCACTCGTTGGTTGATTCTCGTATGTGTCCTGCCTGGAGATCGAACCTAGAACCGTGGCGTGTCGGGAGGATGCTCTGACCCACGGAGCTGCCCAGCCAGGCCATCGATGGCGGGTTTTTTGATTGGGAAAGGTCGAGGGCAGTTCCGGGACTAGAACGATCTGCGTTTTTCTCTGGAATATTTCATTCCAAAACCCAAGCAGGTGCGGGTGCGGGGCAGAGGGGCGGACTGGGGCCGAGGGCGGGTAGACTGGAACATTCCTCCTGGCCTCCAGTGAAAAGCATCCTCTTTGTTGTGTTTCAGCCCTTGGAGACGGGCTGGATGTTGTGAAACCCAATCTGGGAGCAAGGTCCTCCCCCTGTGAGTGTGGAAATCCCAGCCTCACCCCCTGCATTTCTCACACTCGGAGCAAATGTCTAGAAGCTGGGAGTTTTCAAAACACAAGGGAAGCAGTCCCAGCTGGGTGCTGGGAAGGGACTGGCCAGCGGGGAGGGGAGTTTCCATGCCGCGTTCTAGGAAGAGAGGGAAGCCCTGAGGACTTGGCTGTCCGTCCCGGCCAGCTGAGGCTGCTTTCACAGCCCCTCTCTGCAATATTGCTGTGTGACCCCTATGAGTCACTTCACCTCTCTGAGATTCCCTGGCAGAACGGGGCTATTAAGATCCAGCAGGCAGAGCCTGCGTGTAAAGTAAATGAGATAACAGGGGAAAGGTGTCGAACTACTCAAGCCCAGGAGAGGGCCAAGACCTGTGCCCCAGGCGGGGTGGGTGCCCGGAGCGTGAGGCGGAGGCCTGACTGCCCAGCCTCCCCAGCCTCAGGCCCAGAGACGAGATGGAGGAGGGGTTGGGCGGACACATTACCTCTGCCCTAGCCAGCTGCTGGGCAAAGAGCAGTGTCGGTTCCAGCAGGCACCAGGCCCAGCCCCAGCGGCCCAGAGGTCGTGGCTATTCTGGGGAAAACTCATCCACCCTCCCAGGCTCTGGCCCTCCAGGCCCCAGGCCTGTTCTGTGTGTCCAACCCCACCCCACGTGAATGGGGCTCCCCCGACTCATCTGGGAACCACCTCCATCCCCAGCACAGTTGCTGGGGCTTTCACACCGATCTGGGTCCTTACATCCCTTACAGCGGTCCGTTCTCCAGGAAACAGCTCAGAAATGGGAAGTAACTTGCCCCAGGCTTCAGAGCTCCCCGAGTAGTGCCAGGTCCAAGGCCAAGATCTTCCCCACCATGCCACGCAATTCACACCACGGTCCCGTAAGCCGATGCCAGCCCCGTGGCACACGTTGCCTCTGCATCTTTGTACTCTCGGCCTGACATCCTCCTGGCTGTTCCCTGGCAAACTCCCCCTCACCCCTCAAGGCAGGCTCAACGTCTGCAGCCTCGCTGCCTCCCGAAGCCCCAGCTCGCCGACCAGAGGCCCTGACTGTGGGCTGACCCATGGGAAGGAGTGACCACTCTCCATGCCCAGCCGGCCAGCGAGGCGGAGCGGCCAGCCTGGCCACAGGTTCCCAGCAGAGGCTTGCAGCCCTCCCAGCCGGGACCCCTGGGGAAGCGGAGGCGGGGTGAGAACCCTGCAGGCCCGGAAGCCTCACGCTCTCTGAGGAGGGTCCTCTTCTCCCGGCCCCTTTTTGCCCCTCAGGTAGCTCCACAGAGACCTGATAGATCAGGCAAACAGGGTCAGAGAGAAGCGAGTCCAGGTCAGAGACCAGAGCAGGCCCGTCCATTGCCTCCTGTTCTGGACTCAGTTTTACTTGGATATTCACATCCCCAGCTGCAGCTGCTCAACAAGACCCAGACTGAGGACAGGGGGTGGAGGAGGGAGAGTCGGGGGTGGAGGAGGGGGAGCAGGGGGTGGAGGAGGGGGAGTAGGGGGTGGAGGAGGGGGAGTCGGGGGTGGAGGAGGGGGAGCAGGGGGTGGAGGAGGGGGAGCAGGGAGTGGAGGAGGGGGAGCAGGGGGTGGAGGAGGGGGAGTCGGGGGTGGAGGAGGGGGAGCAGGGGGTGGAGGAGGGGGAGCAGGGGGTGGAGGAGGGGGAGCAGGGGGTGGAGGGCGGAGGACAGAGGCTCCTGGCCCACTTACTCTGAGCACATTTGGAAGACAGACAGGAGAGACACAGACACGCCAGCACTGTCCCGGACGGGGAGGCGTTCCGGGCTGGACAGAGGGCTTGGGGAGGCCGGGGCCCGGCAGTAGACAAACAGCCTTACCAGCCCGGCGCAGTCTGGGGAGCGGCTGTGCCAGCAGCTAACCTTTGTCAGGCCGTAGTCCCTGGGTGCAAAGAGGAGTGAGTTGCCCATGGAGTAAGGTGACCAGACGTCCCGCTTTTGGCGGGACAGTCTCGATTTTTAACAATTTGGCCGTGGGACGCGGGACAAATTGTTAAAAATCGGGACTGTCCCGCCAAAAGCGGGACGTCTGGTCACCTTACCTTGGAGGATTTACAATAGTAAGGCACACCCAAAGTCAGTTTCCTGTTTATCACCTCCACGTGCTGACAATTTTAGGCCATCAGCGATAAACTGCAACTCTCCCCAAAGCGGTTGTGTGGCTCTAAGTTTTTATCCCTGCAGATTTAAGTTGTATTTCTGAGATTTAATAATACATATGTGAGCCTCAAGCTAGCCTGTTTTTATTTCTTATTCTTTAAAAACCTTTGTCCTGGATGTGGAGGTTTAATCAGGGCACCCGGTTAGACAGCCCCCAGCACACGCTCGGCTCACGTGTCTGTCCCAGACGTAATTTCCCAAACAGTCAGCAAGGTCCGAGCTCACTTTTGACAGGATTGGTGTCCCTGACATTCTCCCGTGCCTGCCCAGTGCCCCGAGAAACCCGGACAGAGTGTGTGAAAGCCTGCGTCATTCCCACCAAGGACTAGACTCGAGTTTGAAAGGAATGGGTTAAAGTGTCTCCATCACTCAGCCATCTCCTCAGATTTTTGCAGGGGGAAAAAAGAAAAAAAAAGACATGGGAGAATCTTGCCAAATAAAATAAAAACTTAGGCAACACCCGGAAGTGTCCAGTGGATAAGGCCATGGGGCCCTGTGAATGAGGATGGGGGTCCCCAGTGGCCACAAAAGCCCCACCTTCCCATGGTCCGGACTGGATGCCAGCAAGAAGGTCCCTGGTCCTCAAGGAAGGGCTTTCCGTGTGAATGGGGCAGAAAGCCGGCCCTCAAGGCCCAGCGACCAGTAAGTACCCTGTTTCCCCCAAAATAAGATATCCTCCGAAAATAAGACCTACTTACAGGTTTCCTTCTGAGTGAAATATAAGGCATCCTCCCGAAAATAAGGCCCCCCTAGGCTAAACATGAAAGATTTGGTCCACTGATTCTGAAAGAAATGGAGTCACAAGAAATTCACCAGGAAATTCAGGAATTGGATTGTTATGATGATGTTCCAGAAGATGTTGACATGATTGTCATTGAATAAATGAGTAAATTCTTAAAAAAATAAAATAAAAACTTAGGATGATTTTTCTGGTGATGTTTTAGTAAAAATGTTTCAAACATGGAGGTATTGAAGAGCCACCAGAATTGAATTTTCAGAAGATGTAGTCAGTACTGCAGTTTCTGGACTGTATTATGAAATGGGGTTTTTAGTGAATCTCTGACCAACTTGTCCTAATGTTTATGGCCTTTTCTATTTGAATATTTGTTATTTCATATGCGAGGAGCTTTTGAAATTAAAATTAAAAGTTTTTATTTCTTATTCTTTAAAAACCTTTGTCCTGGATTTTTAAATCTAGCTCTCCTGAATTCTGAACATTAATAAGCAAAGAATCATTTTTAAAATTTCTTTAAGAAGAGCAGTGCTGACAAAGTCATGGACAACTTTTCAGAAGTTAAAGTTCCAAAATAGAAACTGCAATGTCAGTGCCTTCCTGTGACCAACCTGTATGTAAGAATAACTTTTTTTCAAAAATGCCTTCAAGAAATTAGAACCTATTAATTAATCCATTACTTTTTCCTATTTTTTCTCTCTATAGCATTTACTTTTCACTTTCTTATTTTTTCACTGGCATGAGTTCATATACAAACCTCAATAAAAGTTTTACTGTTCCTTCTTATCATTCATTATTATTGCTGAAAACAATGTCAGATGAAGAAGAGGGATATTTAAAAATGACCACTCCAGGCATCAAGTATGCCAGGTGCCCCCGATGCCAGCCAGGCACTTGTGCGCTGTTTAATAATAAAAAATCATGATCGCAATAGAGAGTTGCGGTTGAGCACTTCACGTGTGTGCAAAGCTCTGTACTGAGCACTTCCTCCCTCTTAAGATCTTCTGAAACTTGACCCCATTTCCCGGCAGGTGCCGGGGAGCAGGGGGGGGGGGGTCTGCCCCCCAGGCTGCCCAGGCCCCCCCTCTGCAGCCAGAAGCGCCAGGTGGGAAGGAAGCACTCGCTGAGCCCCTTTCTGACCCTGAGCCGCGTCACGGCTTAGAGAAGTGCAAGCCGGGCGGCCGCTGGCCTGGCGGCCACGGTCACGAGGCGGATCAGCTGAGCCCGGAAAAGGCCATCAGACCGGCGGCCGGGGGCCGCGTCCAGCCGGGAGCCGGGAGCCGGGAGCCGGGAGCCGGGAGCCGGGAGCCGCGAGCCGGGAGCCGCGAGCCGGGAGCCGGGAGCCGGGAGCCGCGCGGGGTCCGGTGCGGCCGCCGCCCTCTCCCTGCGGCCCCGCCTCCCGGGGGCAGGTTCACACCCTGAGACCCCGGCGGTGCCCGCACCCGCCCCGGTGCCCGCACCCGCCCCGGACGCCCAGGTGAACCGGCCCCGCCGCCCGGCCCTGCCCCCCCACTCACGATGGGCGCCCGCATCCTCTCTCCGCGGCCCTCGGCGCGGGCTGGTCTGCGTTGTCCGCGGTGGAAGCCTGGGGCGGGGGACAGGGGGTCACGGTGTCAGCGACGGCAGCGGCGCCCCACGATCCCGGGGACGGCGCTCCGGCGAGGAGACCGTGCAGTGGGGCCCTGACCCTCCGGGACAGCCGCTCCCCGCCAGGAGCCCCCGCCCGCCTCCTCCCTGCCCGGTGGGAGGCGACCCCGATGGGCAGAGGGGTTCACCTGGGAGGCGGGGCGCGGCGGCGGGAGGCGCTGGGAGCCGCAGCCGCTCCCTAACTTGCCGGCCCCGCCGCACCGGCTTCTCCCGCCCCCACGGGACCGGAGAGCCCCCCCCCCAAAAAAAAAACCCGGTGCCTCACCTTCCTAAGTCCGGGAGGAGCGCCCACCACCTCTCGGACGGACGGACGGACGGACGTGGGAGGCTGCGCGGCCGGGTCCGCGGCGCGGGGCGGGTTTTAAGTCCTCGGTCCCGCCCAGCGTGGGCTCACCCGCCCGGCCCTGCCCTGTCCCCGCCCCGGCTAATGGGCGCCGCGCTGGGCTCCGGCCGGGGACCGGGACCGCCCGCCCCGCCTCCGGGCACCGGCCGCCCCGCCCCGCCTGCCCCGCCTGCCCCGCCCGCTGGCTCCTGCGCCCGGAGGCGCCCACTGAGCCGCCTCCCCGCCTGTCCGCGCCCGCTCTGCGCTCTGCGGGAGTCCGCGGTCAGGACAGAGTTTTACACTGGATCCCCGTACACACATCACACTGGGATCTGAGCAACTTATCTCCTCCGCTAGAGCGGCTTATAGTTTAAACCTTTATCGAATTTTAAAGCATCCATCAGCCGGATCAGACCGGCAAACCTCAGAGGGAAGGTAGGGGAGGGTGGGGGTAAGGGAGAGAGATCAACCAAAGGACTTGTGTGCATTCATATAAGCCTAACCAACCGACACAGACAGCAGGGGGGTGAGGGCATTAGTCGGGGGAGAGGGGTAATAGGGGAATAAGGACACATATGTAATACCTTAAACAAAGGAAATTTTTTAAAAGGTATTAGAAGACAAGGGTCTAACCAAAACCGGTTTGGCTCAGTGGTAGAGCGTCGGTCTTCGAACTGAAAGGTCTCAGGTTCGATTCCGGTCAAGGGCATGTACATTGGTTGCGGGCACATCCCCCGTAGGGGGTTTGCAAGAGGCAGCTGGTTGGTGTTTCTCTCTCATCAACGTTTCTAGCTCTCTATCCCTCTCTCCACCTCTCTGTAAAAAATCAATAAAATATATTTTTAAAAAAAAAAAGAGCAAGGGTCTAGCAAAGAGAACGTACTTTTAACTATTGGGTCTTAAGTCACCAGATACCCTCAAACCTGGCACACAGTAGCATCCCTTGATGAATGAACGAATGAATAAATGAATAAATGAATGAATGAATGAATTGAATGACCAAACAGAGATCCTTTCTCACTCTGGGCTGTGATGTGACTCCACACGAATAGAACCAGCTCCTGTCCATCTCCGTGTGACCACATCACCCCTATCCCAGTCTGGGAAGCAGGATGCCTGGGCCAAACCCCGGCCCTGCCAATTGCCAGCTATAGGACCCAGCACCCTCCCCTCTGAGCCTCAGCTGTTCACCTGTAACACGGAGCGATGATCCTGTACAACGTGTAAGATAATACACAAACCTGCATTCCCCAGAGGGAGGGCAACCGATGGAATGACGCTTATAAAGTGCCGGGCTCGTGGCAAATCATGTTATTAACATGAGATGAGGCATATGCTCATCAGCTTTACACGTTATTCACCAGCTTCCGGGCAGGGAGAGTCACAGGCTAGTAAACACCAGGGCTTTCTGTGCGTTACCACTCAGCCAGCCAAGTGCTGTGCGTGGAGGGAGGGAGCGGCTGGGAGGCGGTCCAGACCAGTTTGCAGAGGTTCGGTTGGGAGGAAACCAGACTGCTTTCTGCCTCTCCTTACTCTCTGCCTCCAGAATTGCTCAAACGTCACATCCTTCCACCACCACCCCACCTCCACCCCCGCTTTTTTTTCTTTTTCCTGTCCCTTTCCTGTGCCCAGAAAAACAAAAACATCAGAGGGGCAGGGACGCCAGGGTTCCAGATTGTTCCTTCCAAGCAGCTCTCCAAAGAAAAGCTCTGTAGGGAAGGCCTCCTCGGCGATGCTGGCACCGCCAGCAGGACCATCCTCCACCCCACCCCGCATGGTGGGCACCGAACAGGTGGCCGGCCACGCCAGGACCCAGCTGGCACCTGAGCTATGGGCCCTGCGGAGAGGCACCTGCTACTTCTGAGTTACTCGCTCTCTCCCCCTTGTCTGCCTCCTGAGGAGGAGGGAGGCTCCTGCAAGATGGTTTTGCTGAGTCTCCGAGGAAGGACTCCCTGAGAAGTGGGAGGAAATGGCACAAGGCTGATACCGTGCAGGGGTTTTATTTTTTTTTTCACTTGTGAGCATTTAATGAACTTCCATGTGGCTTCAAGCTACCAGCATGCTGCCTCCTCCCCCCCCATCCCAACACCCCGTCTTCTCAGTCTTCTGCTGACGAACTTGGCCTTCACCACCGACAGGAGCCCGTCTCGTCTCCGGCGGCATTTACCTGTCTGCTCGCTGCCCGGGGTGCACAGGGGACCAGGGGGAGAAGTCTGGGTCCCTTTAAGTGGCCATCCCTCACTCCAACTTCCCCAAAGGAGCCTGGGCGTGTTGGTCGAAGCTGATCATGTAATGATGCAAGTCACCAGCATCACCCCAGCCCCCGGTGCTTGCCGACGTGGCCAGGGCCGTGGCTCTCGTGGCCCCGAAGTTTCCGAGTCTTCCTCTGGCTGGCATGCCCATGGCCGAGATGCCCCGTGTGGGGATTCTGAGCAGGCAGGTGGGCGTGGAAGCGAGGCCAGGGCTGAGGAAAGGGGGTGGGGTGAGGGGCAGGCTGTTTGCCATGCTTCTTGGCACAAAAGGAACAGAAGCAGGGGATCGTTTGGTGATAACGTGAGGGTCTGTTGCTAACAGCAGCCCTCACAACGGGAGCTCCTCGGAAACGTGCTCCATCAGCCGCCTGTGCGGGTCTGGACACCCACACAGGCCACCTGCACGGCCAGAGAACGCACGATTCTGACAGTTTGCTTGGAACAGAAAAATCGGGTTTTTCTGAACGGAAAAGATGAAATATAACTTCCTCCCGAAACCCCCAAGTCCTACGGGAGCGAGAATCCCTGAGACCCTGAAGAGCTTCCCTCATTGTGTGCAGCCTGCCCAGCTCTACTGGCCCTTAAAGGAACACCCCGGAATGTCCAGGCTCTCATTCCCGCGGTAAACGGCCAGTCCGGGGAACTGCGGACTGTCGTGGACACTCGTTTTTGTCTGTCCAGCAGCCTCTCATTCGGTGACAATGGGTTCTGGTGAGGCTGCCTCTCACAGTACCCATCACCCCGGCTAGAGAACATGTGACCTCAGTCTGGCTGGCTATTGTGCCCCAGCCCGAGTAGGGATTGGCTCTGGAAGGAACATATGCCCCGAGCCAGACCGATCAGCAGCTTTCTGTAGGATGGCGCTATATACACACATGCATCTTTAAATAGGCAGTGGTCTCGCCCAGCTAGCTCAGTCGGTAGAGCATGAGACTCTTAAATAGGCAGTGGATCAAAAAATAGTCTCTTTCCTCCAGGGATATAAAAGGGGGATGATGTAAGCGGGAACCATTCGTGCCTGCCTCCCCAGCAGCCGAAGGAAACCCTTCTGCGAGGGCAGATAATCTGGCCGCCGCGGAGAAATAGCCCGATGTCAGCTTTCCTCCTTAGACAGCCCGTTTTCCCAGTGACCATGCCTTTTTTATTAGGGTTTTCTTATTACTTTACTATTTAAAAACATTTTAATTACAGTTGACATACAGAATTGTATTATTTTCAGGTGTACAAGTGATTAGACATTTATATGAGTTACGAAGTGATCTTGTTAGATCTATCGAACCCTGATAATAGTACTCATGACACCAGACATAGTTATTACAGTATTACTCACTATATTCCCTGTGCTGAACTTTACACCCCAGTCTACCATTCCGTTTTTAAGAATCTAATGAAGTTGGATTGATCTTTATATATTAGCAAACTGATATATGCTAATTAAAGGCAAGAATGTCAGTGTGCCCAAAGCAAGCCAGTTGGCTGGACTCCTCCCCACCCACACATGGCCCCTTCCCCCGCTTGGCCCTTCCTTCTCCCAGCTCATAGGGAGGCAAGCACCACACTGATGGGAAGGCCCAAGTTTCCACCATCTTCTTCAAATTGTACCTACTTGTGGGTTTGCCCCTTCCCTACTGTGATGAGCTCAGGGTAGCTCCTAGCCTGCCGCCTGACATATGACCATCACTAGGGGCGGGCGGATGGATGGATGAATGGATGGATGGATGGATGGAGGCTACTGACACAACCCAGTGTTTCCATCTAGGGAAACCTTTTTACTGCAGGGCTAAGAGCGTATCTACTTAGTCAAGATATGAGAGGGCCGATGCAGGCTCTCCACTGCTTCCACGGGGGCCGATGAAAGGGAAGCTTTCAGTAGAACTTGACCTCACCCCTCCCACAGAGGAACCATTTAATTTAACCAGATGGGTCCAGATGGGACAACCACATGAAAGTGCCTCAAACTCAAGGGCCGCCATCAGTCCATGTTACTATAAATAAAACTGGCATTGTGTTATAGGCACCACCACCACCAGCACAGCCTTCTGCAGCACGATGCCAGAAAGATACTGTTTTGTAGGACAGAGAAAGCTGACTCACTCAAACCACATTATCACTACATTTGACACCAAGTTACTCATCCTCTTAGATATCCTATCCACTCTGCCAAGCCCAAACCTGTTTCGCAGATCTTCCCACATTAAAGAGAAAAAACACAGAGACAACATGAGGCTGTGATCTTTATTCCATTAAATGACCTTACAGAAACAGAAACATGCTTTTAATATACTAATAGCATCTTCTCATCCTATTGCACTTTTTAAAAATATTGTAAATTTTAAAGCCATTTTTAAAGGGTATAAGATTTCAACAAATCATTTAAAAGAAATATGAGAAGAAAAACTGTGTATGTTCAAGATTAACATCCGCTCCTTTAGGCTTTAGTCTATGACAGCATTTTTTCATCTAAATTGGAAAGTTTTGGGAGTCAAAGTCAACCTTCCTTGTTCACAAGAACACATTAAATTTGTTCAGGCACATGAAATTCTTCCCAAGTAATAAATATTTTTTATCTTTCTACTCCTAGATTTTGAACAGTTCCTGATATGGGTTGCTTTTGTTGCTAATTTTCAAAGTTATGGTTATCTCCTGTCTTTTTGTTCATTACTTTTATTTATGACTTAAGGTTTTCTGTATATGAGTTAGGGGTTCAAGTCACAGTGCTGAATTTTGCTATTTAAAGGAAATACAACTTTTACCCTGGCCAGGTGGTTCAGTTAATTAGAGCGTCTCCCGTACACCAAAACATTGCTGGTTCGATCCCTGATCAGGGTATATATAGGAGGCAACCAATCGATGTTTCTCTAAAAATCAATAGAAACATACTCTTGGGTAAGGATTTTAAAAAATCAGTGGATAGAACGTTGGCCTGCGAACCAAAGAGTCCCAGGTTCGATTCCGGTCAAGGGCACATGCCTGGGTTGCAAGCTCAGTCCAACGTGCAGGAGGCAGCCAATCAATTATTCCCTCTCGACATTGATGTTTCTCTCTTCCTTTCTTTTCCTCTCTGAAATAAATAAAAATATATTTTTTTAAAACACACAACTTTCAAGGTTTTTTTTTAACCCTAATTACACCCACTACAAAATAGTTCACTTGTACATTCGTCTTTCAGAGAAGCACTGAGACATCCTAATTTTGAGCAACAGCTTTTAGGAGCGTAGCTAACCCTCCCAACTACAGGCACCCTTCCTGTGCTGAGCACCCTCACTCCCCGGGACTGCATCGGGCAGACCGCCTCAGCTGACCAGCAAGGAAGCCTCCACCCGTCGCCAGGCCACCACCTGCGCCTGCGCGCCATGCAGTGCAGTCTCACTGCTCTTGGAGGGACTTGCAATACTGTAAACAAGAGTGATTCTGGCCAAAGCCGGTTTGGCTCAGTGGAAGAGCGTCGGCCTGGGGACTGAAGGGTCCCGGGTTCGATTCCGGTCAAGGGCATGTACATTGGTTGCGGGCACATCCCCAGTGGGGGGTGTGCAGGAGGCAGCTGGTCGATGTTTCTCTCTCATCGACGTTTCTAACTCTCTATCCCTCTCAATTCCTCTCTGTGTAAAATCAATAAAATATATTAAAAAAAAAAAAAAAAGTGATTCTGGGGCACAGACCACACCAACTGAGGCAACCCCTGGGTAGAAAGCTGGGAACTTGAACTTTTTAAACAAGAGTTCCAGGTAAGTCTTATATACTCCAACATAGATAAGAACCAATACTCCAGACATAGCTACAGTCTGATTTAACAAGGAAAACTATCCCATTACAAACGGTCTTTTACAATGGGGACCTTAACGTCACTTTAAAAAACCACTTAAACAGTTTGTACTTTCACATCTGAAGCTTGTCTTCATTATGCCCTATCCCTTAACTAAAGTTTTGCTGGATCTAAATATAAGCCGGAATGACATAGCCCATGTTGGCTACTTCAGTGGTAGCTATCCTACATTACCCTAAACTAAATTTCAATAGTTCTATGGTATGTAAAAAAAAAAAAAAAAAAGGCTCCAGGAAGCCGAGACAGGGTGACTCAATTGGCTGGAGTGTCGTCCAGCACACAAAAAAGGTTTCAGGTACAATTTCCCGGTCGGGCCCCATATGGAGGGGCGGGGGGAGGGGGGGAGTAACAGATCAATGTTTCTCTTGCTCTCTCCCCACCTTCTCTCTCTCTCTCTCAAAAAGCCAATAAACATATACTCAGGTGAGGATTAAAAAGAAAAAAGTTCCATATAAACTATTTAAAGAAAAACCTCTAGGAAAAATATAAAACCTTTTCACATCAATTTACTCAACTTCTCTATAATTCATACATGCATACCCTCTCTGAGACACCATTTTTATAACCACAAGAATGGGGGTATGATGCTGAAGAAACACAATGCCAGCACAAAGCAGTTCGTTTGCTAAAGCATTTAACTTTATGTAAAAGAAAAAAGAAAATAACAGGTAAAGCAAAACCAATATTCCCAGGCGATTGTACCAGTGTTATTACAGAGCCCTCTGTGGAACAGGCTTCTCAGGAGACTGCTAGCAAGGGATGAGTCTGAAGAAGTGTCATTATCACAAAGAACACGACAGTCTGCCGTTTGTCTACAAACCAACCTAGAAAGCCTTCTCCATGAAAGAATCAAAACTTTTATTCTATTATTTTTACTCTAAGTTTACTGGAAGTATTAAAAAACAACAAAAAACCTTAACATTTAATTTCACCCGAAATGAGTTCTTTTAAGAGAAAAACTGAACACCTCCATGTCTGTTACAGTCAGGAATGTGTGAACAGCAGCGCTGTGTGCAGAGGCCGCCAGGGGGGCAGAGCAGCGAACACTAAGCAAGCAACCTGACTCCGGATGTCCCTGACCCGCAAACTCAAGGCTGAGGGAGTTACGAGGTTCTTTTCAACCTGGTTATCAATCTCCCCAAGACTATTCAGGCCAGCGATGAGAATGCATCTTTTATCGGAAAAGGTGCTATAAAGTCATCAGTTCACCATTAAAAGAAGCCAAAGAAACTCGTAAGAATCCTCACTGAGAAAACTTCATAAGCACTTTTCAGAGGCAGAACATGTCAACTAATAAAGACCCAAAAAACAAGGTTTCCCTCTTGGTAGTTATTCCTTCTTTAAGATCAAATCAAAAATGGTGAATTTAAACTGTAAATCAATCCTAAGATTTCATTAAATCATACATTATTGTGTTTATTTTTAAAAATCTAATACTTTAGAATTAAAATAAGTTTTAGACACATCTTCCTTTTCTCACCACTAAAAGGAGTAGGACCAATCTAGACAATTATTCTGAAATCTATAAATATGCTTATAAAATGCAGTGAGGTTTTCTTTTCTTTTTTTTTTTTTTTAGCAAAAAGTAAAACATGTAAATAGTAGGTTTATTAAACCCAATATCAGGAATTTAGTTCTAGTGAAACATCACCCATCACATTGATGTTTCAATCTGAACTACAGTGATTCTGTAGGTTTGTTTTAAGTTAGTATCTGTAAGGCCTTTCGCTGAGGAGGAGGAGCCTGCAGGAAGATGAGGCCCCATGAAAATGCACTAACTTTTCAATTTAACATTCAAAACTAAGCATCACTGATAAGCAAGGAAACAGTTTTTAGAACAATCTGGAATTTTTTTTAAATCTAACAGCAAGTAAATAAAATAGCAAAAACTTCAGGGCAAGATGGTATGTAAATATGAAAAAATATATAAAATGCTTGGAATTCAGGCTTTATAAAAATACTTAAATGGTTAAGTGTTAAAGTAGTCAAAAAAATCTTTAATAGATTATATGCCAGAAGAAACTTTGTTTTGCCACCTTCCACTCATACTTCATACATAAAAAATTTTCTCAGATTTTTCCTAAGCCTTCCTTACCACCCTCCCACAAAAATTAAATTATCTTAAGAATTAAGGCTCACAAACCTGAATGTTTATATAAATATTTGCAGGCAAATTTTAGGCTTAAAATCCATAATAATTCACCATTATAAACCAAAGAAAAAGGCAACTACAGATAAAAAATTTTATCACACAATCAAGGTATATAAAGAATTATTATTAGATACTTCTGGGTATGGTCCATATTTGTATGGAGCTTTGGTCCTTATTAAGCCAACGCTATTTTAAAGCTACCAGACAAGTCAAGTTAGATAAAGAATTCTAAATAAAACAGACTAAATAAAACGGACAGTTTCAGCTCCATTATTAAAAGTATTAAACAGTGCATAGGACATAAGGCCTGGTTTACTGCTAAGCCATATGCAATAGGACATCACTTAAAGGCCATGTTTGGTACGGTGTTTCCTCTAATTAATAATAGTTTTGTTCTTATGCGAACTTTCAAAAATAAAACCTCTCAAATGACAACTGTGTGAGGGTAGTGCATATACCAATATAATAAAGCCCTAATATGCATATTGACCGAACGGCAGAACTACCGGTTGCTATGACACACACTGAACACCGGGGGGGCAGACACTCCACGCAGAAGCTGCCCTGATGGTCAGTGCACTCCCAATTGGGGAGCCAGAAGCCCGGCTCTCAGCTGGCAAGCACAGCGTCAGTGGCGGGAGCCTCTCCCTACAGGTGGAGCATTAAGGAGTCCTGGACTGATTGAGGTCACAGGCCACGCTGAGGGACACCCCCAGAGCACAAATTTGATGCACTGGGCCTCTAGTACCAACATAAACCTGCCAACAGTGAATCTGGCCAAGGCACAAGTTCAAGTGACTTATCAGAGGTCACATGGTTCATTTAAACTCTAGCTTTTTTTTTTAAATTATCAAGTTCATTCCTTTAATTATGAGCCTCTGGCTTTCCAAGGCATGTTTGCTCTTTTCTAGAAAGAAGGTACAGGAATAAAGGCAAAAGGAACCACACTGACAGCCTGTCAAGGAAAAGACTTACATTGCAGTGAACGGTAAACATGATGGTTTTCCACACTGTGTGGCAGACAGGATCCTCTAACATTTTAAGACTTTATGTAATGGCATCATTTCAGCCTTTAGTTCTAAAGCTTTTGCCAGTTTTGTAAACTTTTTTAAAAAGGAACCCTTCTCAATAGAGTAGGTATAAAAGAACTGACAGATTTCGCCCCAAACAGAATCTTTCCCGAGGCTTCCTCAGTCCCTCCTCCCTATCATGCCTGCAAACGCACGATTTCCATTTTAAAAGGCACTAAGTGGCGCATAAAGGACTTAAAACTGCATTTCCATATTCTCCTTTAACTTTCCCCCATAAAGTGCACAAAGCAGAGAGTAATAAGAGAACAGACACAAGCTTGGGTCTAGATCATCAGCAAGGAAAAGAAACGCTTCCAACAGAAATGGAAGTGCGTTGAAGAGTTTGCAACCACAGGAAAGGTCTGTCTGTTCATTTATTGGTGCCACGTGTCAGCTCTTCCCGGGTGGTCCCACATCTCCATTCCTCTGGGCCTGTTCCTGTGGCTACAGCGGAAACGCAGAAATCAGAAGGGGCTGTTGGGTTCCTGTTGGATCCTCTTGCCAGGACGCTATTGCGCTTTTTTATCCATTGAGTGTCTCCCAACAACGGCATCCCTCACAGCAGCCTGGGTGGAATTGCCAATGTGAGAAGAAGCCTGCAAGAGTCCATGAGGCAACACGTGAGTTAACAACATACAGCCCAGCATTAAGGGAATATGTCCTTGGAGATCAACTTTCAAAAACATCTGTCTACATCATCAGTACATTACAGAAAATGGGGGAAGGAAAATGTGGGAGCCTGAGACAGCAGCTGCTCCCAGGAGTTAGCTGACTCTGCTTTGTTACTGTTATTAGAGGCTTACCAAATGTCTATTCCTTTAGTAGAAAAAATATTTTCACTCAGGAAGCTCGAGTTTGGGATTGGCATTGTAAAAATAATTTGTTTCCCTTCACAAGCCTCTAACTTAACTGATCTGTTCAAGCAACTCAGAAAAAGAAATCAGTCTCGAGGATCTACAGTATTGTATAAACCTGGAGATCATGTCAATGTCAAAAGCCATTGGCTTTTTGGAAGATTTTAAGGGGGAATAATGCCACCCATTAATAAGATTCAAAACAAAACAAAAATGTTTTTGTTGAGTTCAGATTTTTCAAAGCTCTTGATTTTTTTTTTAAATATATATTTTATTGATTTTACACAGAGAGGAATTGAGAGGGATAGAGAGTTAGAAATGTCGATGAAACATCGACCAGCCGCCTCTTGCACACCCCCCACAGGGGATGTGCCCACAACCAAGGTACATGCCCTTGACCGGAATCGAACCCGGGACTGAGCCAAACCGGTCCCGGCAAAGCTCTTGATTTTTAATAAAGCAAATTAATCTTGGATGAGGGAAAGAATCACACAGGAATTGTGTCTGACGAGCATGTAGTTAAAAGTTTCCCGAAAGGAACACAATTATGTCTAAGTTGAAAAATGTTTTGCCCTGAAGGGTAATCATTAGTCATGAAAACAAAATATCAAAATTAAACAATAATATTCTAAAAAAGGATAATAAACAAAATGCTCATCAGAAAAAAAAGTCAAGGAAACGTTCTCATGCCTTCTTTCCCCAGGAAGCTTTCCAAATGGAAATATTTTACAGCAGAAACGCAGTATCTGTCCATTGTCAGCCCCCCACGCCCAGCGGCAGCACTTACCTGCTCCAACACATATGCTGCTCCGGAATCGATGGCTCCGCCCAGCTCGCGGTACTGCCCCGAATACCTGATGTACCCCCAGGTGAGCAGCGCGATTAACAGCAGGCCAACGATGCAGTTGAACAGCTGGGCCACCACCTCCAGGCCAATGAAGCCAGTGAGGCCCGACGCGATGTACAGAGCCACGATGCCCGTGAAGAGCACGGCGGGGGTCCGGAAGGTGCTGAAGATGTTCTTGCTGCCGTTGTGCTTGCAGAAGTTCTCGTACAGTTCCTTGATTTCCCCCTCCAGCTCCTGCTGGTAGCGAAGGCTGAACTCCTTCCCGCCCATCTTCTTCGTCTTCTTAAAGTGGTCCAGAGCAAGCTGTCTGAATTCACAGTGCTTCTCCTCTAGAATGTCTGGGGACAAATAAGGTTTCTCTCCCCCACACACCTAAAAAATAAAGAGGCAATGTGGTGAAGACCCCTTTAAAACAGGTGACAAGTAAAATTTATAAAGTGAAAACGCTGAAAAGCTTCCAGTATTTTGGTGTGAGAGATTAACTTTCCATGCTGACCCAGAGCAACAGCTCAGCTGGCTGCCCCGAAGGACACTGCGGCTCCGGCCACACTGCCCGGTGAGAGCAGTGACGGCGCAGCCGTGGCTGGAAGCTGGCAGCGGGCCCTCACCTCCAGGTGGCCTGAGAGCAGCTGCGTTGCCTCAGTGTCTTAAAACAGTCAAAGGGTCAAGCTGGGCTTTTAAAGTCAGCTACCATGTCCAGGTTATAGATATTTCAGAGTAAGACGTTCGCCCCACATACCTCCTCCATGTTGTTGTAATAAATGTCCTTGGCAGAGGCTGCAGCTGCTAAATTGTTGGCTTCCGCAGTGGCCTTTTAAGAAAGGAAAACACCAGCTGTAAGTCCTTCCTCTTTAAACATTCTCCTACAAATAACCACGTAAAATTTTCCTCACACCTAAGTCACTGTTCTTTCTTATGCTTCTGCTATTTTTTAAATTTCCAAATAGCCCAGTTTATTAAATAAAATACATCTTTTCTGCCAAAAATGTTTCCATACGGAAGAATCTTTATCACAAATTAAACCTCTCAAAAATCATGTCCTTTGCTTCGATTTTTACTTACTGATTTTAGAGAAAGGAAGAGAGTGAAAAACATCAATGTGTTGTTCCACTTATATACGAATTCACTGATTCTTGTATGTGCCCTGATGGGAGAGCGAACCCAAAACCTTGGTGTATCAGGATGATGCTCTAACTGAGCTACCTAGCCAGGGCCCTTTGCTTTAATTTTAAATGTTAAAAAACAGATGTAAGTCAAAAAAGAAGGAAACAGCCCAGCCAGCTTGGCTCAGTGGTTGAACGTTGACCTATGAACCTGGAGGTCATGGTTTCATTCCTAGTCAGGGCATATGCCCAGGTTACTGGCTCAATCTCTGGGAGGGGGCGGGGGAGAGAATGCATGCAGAAGGTGGCCAATTCATGATTCTCTCTCATCATCGACGTTTCTCTCTCTCCCGACCTTCCTCTTAGAAATCGATAAAAATATATTTATTTTTTAAAAGAAAGAAACAAATTATCTTTATAATGTCAATCCCAAATTCTAGCTTCCTAAAGTGAAAATATTTTTTCTACCAAAAGGAGTAAGCATTTGGCAATAAATGGCCTTATGTTCAGTACATGAAACACAGAATCATGTTTTAACAAAACGACACTTTGAAAATACCAAAATGTTGAAAACAAAACTCATTGGAAATTAAATGTAGACTCATCAGTAAGCAGACACATTAGGGCATGTTCTAGGAAAGCAGACAGCAGATAAGAGAAAAATGGGCTGAAACCGGTTTGGCTCAGTGGTAGAGCGTCGGTCTGCGGACTGAAGGGTCCCAGGTTCGATTCCGGTCAGGGGCATGTACGTTGGTTGCGGGCACATCCCCAGTAGGGGGTGTGCAAGAGACAGCTGGTCGATATTTCTCTCTCATCGATGTTTCTAGCTCTCTGTCTCTCTCCCTTCCTCTCTGTAAAAATCAATAAAATATATATTTTTTTAAAAAGAGAAAAATGGCCTGTCCACACGGCTGGGGATGTCTCCCTGGGATAAGACAGCGATTTCACACTATGTTTGCTGGGAAGACCAGGCCCAGTGAGAGGCCGTGCTATTCAAGCTGAACCACCACGAACACAGATAAGAAAGCCAGAGGGCAACCATACTGCTGGAATGTGCTGGAAATTAAGAGCTCAGCATAATGGGAAAGGAGAGCAACAGCACTGTCTTCTTAAAGGACTGCTTCCTGGATCCGGATAAACGCACGAAATCGAAGCTATCACTTGGGCTGTCCAATCACTGCGTACCTGGAGCATGGATTTGGGGTGAGGCAGATCTTCTCCTTGGTAAATTTTAATATATGCCTGAAAATATAAACATAAAAATAATTACCAAAAATGTTATTCTGTCATAACTAATCATACTTGAAATTGTAGAAACAGTAACCAAACAACTGAATTTTCCTAAAGACCTAGATCAACACCCAGGAATTAGCAAAAACACATCACACCTTGTGCATGTTAGCATTTTTTAGTTCACGAGCCTACCAAGGCTAAGATTCCCGCCAGACTCCCCATGCACACTGGCCTCACCACTACCTGTGGGCAGAGTGACCATCCGCCTTGAGGTAGCCATGTCACATCTAGGTGCCGTCTCCTACTCACAGCAACTTCCTAACCACCTCCTGTCCACACCATCTTCCTGGAGGAACCATCTTCCTTTAGCCAGTCATCACTCCGCTAAGAGAGTGCAAAGAACATTCATTTGGTTCTTAAACTGATACTGACACCCAGTGGCCCATTCCTGGAAGGACACTGAAATCTGAAAAAGCCTCTCATCATTTCCCCCATGACTCTTCCCTAAGCTTTAAAATGCTGAAATTCAAGTTAGCTTAAACCTAGACCAGTTTTACCAAAAGCCAAACATTTTAATTAATAAAACCCACAATTACCTTAAAATACTCCAACAGCCCCCGACAGGTGACTTTTGAGCCATTGATCTCCTTTTCCATTAAGTTCGCTGGGTTTAGTATATACGGTATCAGTATCTGTAACTGCTCTTTGAATTCACTGGCGATATCTGTACACAGGACCATGAAGAAGGAAACCATAAGCCAAACAGGCTTCAGCCAAGGAAAGCACAAACACAGTCTTCAGGGCTAATCATTTAACGTGAGCTAGCCCTAGTGGAGGGCCGGGTCCCAGGGCAGGTGTCTGACATTTCCGGCTCTGACAACAGCAGTTGGTTCTTATGTGCCTCGCTTGCCTTCTGCAGTATTAAGTCTTCCCTAGTCGAGGAGAGAATATGCAGAACATCTTGCCCTGGTTTTCATTCTGGGAGGTTCAGGTCTACTCCCTAGCCCAGTGGTCGGCAAACAGAGCCAAACATCAACAGGACAATGATTGAAATTTCTTTTGAGAGCCAAAACTTTTAAGCTTAATCTATATAGATAGGTACATTGTTATTAACTTAATTAGGGTTCTCCTAAGCTGGCCTTTGCTAAAAACTCAAAGGGCCAAAGAGCCGCAGTTTGCCAACCACTGCCCTAGCCTTTCAAGAAATTTCAATTTTTTAAATCTCACCAGAGGATATTTTTCCAATGATTTTTTTTTTTTTTTTTTTTTTTTTTTTTTTTTTTAGAGAGAATGAAAGGGAGGGAAGAGGGGGAGAGAGAGAGAAACATTGATGTGAGAGAAACACAGATTGGTTGCCTCCCACATGCATCCTGACTAGAGCCTGGGATCAAGTCTGCAACCTTGGTACATGCCCTTGACTAGAAAACAAACCCAAGACTCTTTGCCTGAGGGCCAATGTTCTAACCACTGAGCAACTGACCAGGGCAAGAAATTTCATTTTTTTAAGGCTAGGGTAACACCAGATTCTTAATTGACATTTTCTGGTCACTATTTAATTCCAAAGATCAAATCACACGTTTAAAATAACATCATTTGTAACACACCTTTCAATTTCCCATCAAACTCAGGGCTTGTGGCCACCTGGAGTCCTGGATGCGGCAGAAGAAAACAGGAGACGCTCGAGAAACACGAGTGAATGTGATTTCGGACATTCTGAATTTCTTCATGCTGATGTTCTTTCACCTGCCAACGAAGACGCACAATTTACAAAGACCATGTGTTTCTCTTCACAGCACAAAGGAAAGAAGACTTCCAACTCTGATGGGTCCTAGTGGCCTATATTTTTTCCAGTAAGAAAACACAGAACCCAGCCGAAACCGGTTTGGCTCAGCGGTAGAGCGTCCGTCTGCGGACTGAAAGGTCCCAGGTTCGATTCCGGTCAGGGGCATGTACGTTGGTTGCGGGCACATCCCTGGTAGGGGGTGTGCAAGAGGCAGCTGGTCGATGATTCTCTCTCATCGACGTTTCTAGCTCTCTATCTCTCTACCTTCCTCTCTGTAAAAAATCAATAAAATATATTAAAGAAAAAATAAAACACAGAACCCTAAGAAGCAATAAATGCACATATTTAATTAACCATAGCATGACTCCTATAGCTACCAAAGAATAGGTAGTAAAGAGTTTCTTTTAAAAAAGAGTATTACACGATACTTAGGGAGAACAACAGGTTTGTGGGCATGAAGGAGGATCTAACCAGATAAAATTACTATCTGGTTAGATCCTCCTGTGTTTTAATTCTGGAGAAAAGGCTAACTACGCCTTTTATATTCATCTTAAAACAAATAAGAATTGCCCAGATGGTGTGGCTCAGTGGTTGAGCATCCACCTATGAACCAGGAGGTCTCGATTTGATTCCCACTCAGGGCACATGCCTGGGTTGTGGGCTTGATCCCTAGTGTGGGGCGTACAGAGGCAGTCTATCAATGATTCTCTCTCATCATCTATTTCTCTCTCCTTCTCCATTCCTCTTAGATCAATAAAAATACATATTTTTAAAAAACAACAACACATAAGAATTTTGAATAAGAAAAACAGACTGAAGTTCTGAATGTAGACACTTGTAGAACCTGACCAAAAGTGTGGAATGGAATTACAATCAAAGCTGGGGCTTGCCGAAACTGGATTGGCTCAGTGGACAGAGCGTCGGCCTGCGGAATGAAAGGTCCCAGGTTCGATTCGGGTCAAGGGCATGTACCTTGGTTGCGGGCACATCCCCAGTCGGGGGTGTGCAGGAGGCAGCTGGTTGATGTTTCTCTCTCATTGATGTTCCTAGTTCTCTATCCCTCTCTTTTCCTCTCTGTAAAAAATCAATAAAATATATTTTAAAAAATAATAAAATAAAATCGATAAAAACATTTAAAAAAAACAAAGCTGGGCTTTGGTCCAGAGTTCTTTTGCCCACAGTCCCTGTGCATGTGTACCCAGGTGCTTTCATCTAAAACATGAATAACATTAGTGTGTGTTAACATGCATAAGTATTTAACAAACTTAACGTAATTTTCTGTAACCTGCTTGAAATACAATAGCTAAGGCAAATAAGAAAGTTACTACTGGTTTTTGGTAATTCCCGTATTATATTTCTACTTACCTGTAGACGCTTATCCAAAAATGACATTCCTCCCTGTAGTCCATAGCTGTATTCATAAGGGAAACTCCAATCTCGAACCAAAAACATCAGTGTCTATTTAGGAAAAGAGAAGTGCACATTATAATGTTGCATAAATGCATTTTCAAAATAACAATTTAAGTACTCCTTTGCACAATGCCGGCTTCTTCAACGGAGACAAGAAAACGTGCTGAAGGACTGATCTATTCTGTGATGTCTTTGAAACCTTATAAACATGAATGCCAAAGGCAAGGATGGGGAGTGTAATAAAGGCCAAGAGAGAAAACAATATGACACTAGCTAGTCATACATCAGATCTACTTTCCCCATTAGAAAGGAAAGGAAAGCTAAATAATACTTAAAACTCCTCTAATCTTACTCGGGTTACTATGCATTCCCTCCTCATGACATAAATAGCTAAAACAAGGGTCAGTAAACTTATTCTGTAAATGCCAGAGTAAATATTTTAGGCCACTGGAGCACAGGCAGCCATGGACAATACAAATAAGTATGGCTGTGTTCTAGATAAAACCTTACCTACAGACACTGACATCTAAATTTCAGATAATTTACACATCATGGAATAGTATACCTCTTTTGATTTTTTTCAACCATTTAAAAACGTAAAAACCATTCCTAACTCATAGATCACATAAAATAGGCAGCTGGCCAGAACTTGCCTGTGAGCTATAGTCTGCTGATCTCTGAACTAAAATAGAGATTTGAATGACATTTATAGTGAACATTCTACCTGGAAGGGTTTTTGGAAAATTTCATCCATTGCCAGACGACCATATTCTGTGAAGAGCTTTAAAAAAAAAAAGAAGAGTTATGGCTTGTAAGGCAAATTACGAACAGTATTTCTGTGGCCAGGGACCGTGCAGGCACCCCGGGAGAGGGTGGCGTCTGTGCTATTCTTCATCATGACCTCCTGGTCTAAAACGCTCAACCTCTGAGCCAGGCCGGCGGGCTCAAGTACAATGTTTACAGAACAGCTCTCAACCACCGAGTCGTGGCACTGGCGTAGAACCACTGATGGTAAAGCATGAGTAATTCCTAGTAGTAATATTAAAAGCCCAAGTTTAGGAATTATTTTTCTAATTTTGTTTTTAAAGAGATACTAATTGCTATTTCTTGATCCTGCCAAACACACTCCACCTCACATCTTTCTTCTTGCTGTCCCCTCTCCTACACCACTTTCCCCAGACATGTCTACAGAACCTAAGGGCCACTTCCTGTAGTTCCCTGCTCAGCTCATCAAGGCCTTCCCTGCCCACTTCACGACAGACACAGAGTGTGGGATAATGATGAACAAAACCTTCCTCCATATTTCAATGTTTTGCTAGAACTATTGAAGTAAAATTTTTCTGTCTTAAAACTTTTAAAAGATATATTGTATATGATGTTTAAATGAGGAATATATACCTGTAGTTGTTGAAGATCATCTTCCTGAATGTTCTGAGACAAGTTATAAATCTAGAAAACAAACACCCAAATTGATACTACTTTAGCTAATTTCAAACAAGCTCAAATAAAGCCTAACACACTGCTTTGTACATTTAAAAGTCTGCATATAAAAATATGAAGTCTGTTCAAACAGTAATATTATCTGTCCTTTGGAAAACTATGCTTATATGGTTGAAATAACATAATTCTTCATTTACAGTTTAAAATACAGTTTTCTTAAGTTCTTAACAAATCTACATTTCCTATATGACGTCATTTCAATTTCCACTTTCAGGTTTTTACATAAATTTATGATCAAAGTAGAAAAATAGTTTAGGTTCCTTCTTGAGCCTATTAAGAGGTTACTGATATCTGTGGTCTATAAAGAATATGTATCACCATAGAAATTCTGATAACATAACAACAACTTAAACTACATGTAACCCCTTTGTTTTATTTCCTCTACAAACGTGTTTTCCTAGTCGAGTGGTTTTACCTGAACAGAACTAGTCATGGTGCTTAGAGCAAAGATGGTAGCACAATCTTTCACAGTGGACTGGCTGTCAAATGCCCCCTGGGTGTCCATCAAAACAACTGCAACCTAAATAAAAAGGAAAATACAAACAAAATATGTTAGAGTGAGAAGGGGAAAATGTAAAGGGGAACTTGAGAAGGACAGGTAACATTTAAGTGAGGCTTAAGTGGCTGCTTATAGGTTCCATCAGAAAAGTATAGTTAGCCAAAACCGGTTTGGCTCAGTGGTTAGAGCATTGGTCTGCAGACTGAGGGGTCCCAGGGGCATGTACATTGGTTGTGGACACATCCCCACTGTGGGGGAGGGTGCAGGAGGCAACTGACGGGTGGCTCTCTCTCATCGATGTTTCTAGCTCTCTATAACTCTCTTCCTCTCTGTAAAAATTTAAAAATTTAAAAAAAAAAAAAACAGGTTAAAGTTCATTTAAAAAAAACAGTGTTACTTCAAAATCCCCTCTTCCACTTTAAGAAACACATGACTTGCTCTCCTAACCCTTACAAACAAATTTGGGGATAGGTTCTACAACTGTAGCTTACTATTATTTTTTAATCCTCACCAGAGGATATTTTTCTCTTCGATTTTTAGAAATAGTGGAAGACAAAGGGAAAGACAGAGAAATATCAATGTGAAAGAAACACATCGATTGGTGGCCTCCTGTGGGTGCTGACCAGGGCCCAGGATAGGGAGGAGTCTGCAACCTGCCATTGGCCGGAATCAAACCATGGACCTTTGGCTCTGCAGGCCAAAGCTCTATCCACTAAGCCAAACCAGCTAGGGCTGTAGCTCACTATTTTTTTCTCAATATATTTTATTGTGGTTTTTTTTTTTTTTTTTTTTTTTTTTTTTTTTTACAGAGAGGAAAGGAGAGGGATAGAGAGCTAGAAACATCGATGAAAGAGAAACATCAATTAGCTGCCTCCTGAACACCACTACTGGGGATGTGCCTGCAACCAAGGTACATGCCTTTGATGGAATTGAACCTGGGACCCTTCAGTCCGCAGGCTGATACTCCATCCACTGAACCAAACCGGTCAGGGCTGTAGCTTACTATTTCTTGTTAGAATCCTTATATTACTATTTGATCTTTTAAACTATATTCATGCATTATTTTTAAACTATAAACTTATCATTCCAATAAAAATATTTTTAATTTTAAATATGCATTAAAGTTCTAATTTTGTTGTTTTATTATCGTGAAAGCCTTTTTCGTCCTTACCTTCTTCCCATCTGGCTTTTCCACAGTGAAAACTTCATTCCAGATCTGAATCCCGTTAGTTTCTGGGTCAGAGCCCCCTCTCCATGAAAATCCTGTTAATGGTTCTTCTGAATCACCTAACCAATTTGAATGGCCACCTTCTTTCTACAGCAGAAATAAGACATTTCCATTAAACCTACCATTTTGAGCATTTTTAAACATCGAGAATAACACGTGAACCTCCTTTGTGCTTTTAAACATAAATTCTCATTTTCTGATCGGAAAGGAGATAATTACCTGGAAATATAAGTAGCGGAGCAGAAAGTCCAGGAAGAACGACTTGCCCTTTCGGAAGGCCCCAGCCACTGACACCACCACTACATCAAGGTCTCGAATGTGGTCCTGCAAGAGGATGCTGGCCAAGGCCTTCTCCTCTAACTCAAAGGAATGCTGGTCTTTCTGAACCAAAACCACCTGCACTGGGCCAGGCTTCCCACTCTCCATGGCATCACCTGTGTTGTTACAGAGAAAAACATTAGTTCCAACATATTTTTAAATACGTATTTTTGAACAAGGAAAAAGCAAAAACTTAAGGTACAAAAGCACTAACCATAAAAATAAAAAAATGACAAATTAGACCTTCATTAAAATCAAGAATTTTTTATTAAAAAAATACCATTAAGAGTAAAACTGCAGCCGAGGCCAGTTTGGCTCAGTGGATAGAGCGTCGGTCTTTGGACTGAAGGGTCCCGGGTTCGATTCCGGTCAGGGGCATGTACATTGGTTGCGGGCATATATTTCTAGTGGGGGGTGTGCAGGAGGCAGCTGATCAATGTTTCTCTCTCATTGATGTTTCTGGCTCTCGGTCTCTCTCCCTTCCTCTCTGTGAAAAATCATTAAAATATTTTTTTTTAAAAAGTAAAAATGCAAACCATAGAATAGGAGAAAATATCACAATATCTATATCCAAAGAACTCATATCCAGAATCAATACAGAAATCCATAAGAAAAAGACAAATACACAGCCCGGCTGGTGTGGCTCAGGCAGCTGAGCATCATCCCACGCACCCTGGGCTCACTGGCACCTGCCCTTCCTCTCTGTAGAAAATCAATAAAATATATTTTAAAAAAAGAATGAAGAACAATTTACTCAGACCTTATGGATAAAGCAGTACCAAAGTCCCTGAGATAGCTCACCCAATATTTGTTTTCCCCTCCTGCGAAGTAATCGATTTTTAGCTGGGCATATTAACTGCCTAATTAATACATCTTTGGAAACACATTTCCAAACCAACCTTGTAGCTAGGGTGTCATCATGTGACTAAATTCTGACTGGAAATGAAATAGCAACTTCCAGGTCATGCATTTATCCCTTCCTGCTGGCTAGATGGAAAAGTGAGAGTGAGTCATCCTGGACCAGGCACGTGAGGGCAACACCCTAGGAATATTGGGGCAGCAAGAGGCAGGACCAGGGGCGGACCATATCTGCAAGACAAAGACCCTAGAAGGTTAAAGAGAGAAAGAGAGAGAGAGGACCTAGGACTTCATGTAATAGAACTGCCATGCTGGCTCACTTTTTTTTTTTTTTTTTAATTGATTTTTTACAGAGAGGAAGGGAGAGAGATAGAGAGCTAGAAACGTCGATGAGAAACATCGACCTGTTGCCTCTTGCACACCCCCTACTGGGGATGTGCCCACAACCAATGTACATGCCCTTGACCGGAATCGAACCTGGGACCTTTCAGTCCGCAGAATTGATGCTCTATCCACTGAGCCAAACCGGTTTCGGCAATGCTGGCTCACTTTTATGTGAAAGAAGACTTAAAATGTACCTTGCTTAAATCACTTATCTGGAGGCTCAATCAGATTTAGCCCAACCTAGAAACCAATACAATTACCCAGGACTTCACAATTAAGTTCATGATACTTTCCATTTCACCTACTTCACTATTAAAGTTTACTGAGCAATGTGAATGGTATATGGCAAACTCACAATAAGCAATCGTAAAAAAGAATGAATATGTACCGTAGTACCATTGAGAGCTGCAACCCTAAGGACGCAGGTGGTACTAACAGAGCAAGGGGCATGGAAGATAAGGATGCATGGGCTGCGGACAGGATAGAATAATCCAGTGACAAAATGTGTGCAGTTATGCACAGTGAGTTGCTTTTCAAGAGAAGTCGGAGACCACTGACAAGTTTAAAAACAAACAGGTGATACAGCCTTCCCTCGTGTCTTCCTCTCTGCCATTAGCACAGGGAAAAGGAGAAGCAGGCTACCGAGGGGGATGATCCTGCACTTCTCTTCAAACAGTCTGCTGGGCAACTGGATTTTTAAAGGATCTGGTTCCTTTGGCTTGAATGGTACCCAAACTGCAATGTAAACAGATAGAGCTGCTCACTTTCCACCGTCTGTCCCTCCGACTTTCTAGGACAGTGGGACTCCATTACCGATCTGCCAAGAAAAACTTCTACTCTTCCCAGGTATCGTGTGAATGTCCTTTGCTGACTTATCCTCACAACCCAGACTCCCCAATCCCTTGAACCCTTCATCCAAATTTTAGGGCCTGTTCCCTAAGACTGAGGCTAAGCTATCTTCCAACAGTTCTTGCCTATGACGTTGATCATCCAAGTCACCATCCCCAAGTGGTTTTTGTTTTTTGAGGGCTTTGACTTTTTTTTTTTTTTTTTACTTTTAATTGCTTTTATTACAAAAAAAAAAAAAAAAGCTTCATTTAGCTTTCTGACTCTGCTTGTACCTTCAATACTTTTTTTTTAAATATATCTTATTGATTTTTTACAGAGAGGAAGGGAGAAGAATAGAGAGCTAGCATCCATGAGAGAGGAACATCCATCAACTGCCTCCTGCACACCCCCTACTGGGGATGTGCTCGCAACCAAGGTACATGCCCTTGACCAGAATCGAACCTGGGACCCTTCAGTCCGCAGGCCAAAGCTCTATCCACTGAGCCAAACCGGTTTCGGCTGTGCCTTCAATACTTTCACATGGTTTTCTGCTCCTCAAGAAGGAAAGCACTCTGGATCCTGTCCTGGACACATTTACACATGTGGATCCACCGCAGGCCCCGCTGACAAGTGTTTTCTTCTTAGACCACCTCGTTACACTTTAGGTCTCACAGCGTGAAATCCTCTACGTCGGATTGGGCACCACCACACGGAGATCTGGTGCTTTCCCCACCTTCAGTGTAAAGGTGTTTTTGTGACAGCCGTTCTGTGATGTGAGAGGCTGTCTTGCAGGACAGCTCCGCGGCATGTCAAACGCTGGACCACGGGGAATGCCTCAAGTCTCCGTCCCCGAAAGAGAGGGCCCGGGTGTCTCTTTGATGACATTACCTCAGTCCCTTAGGGCGGAACTCCTTCATTACAACACATGAACATGTCATGACAGCAACTATGTAAAGGCTTCAAAAACATTTTATGGACAACTCAAAACAAACCCCACCCCTCCGCTGCCTTAGTTCCTCTAATTCTTATTCTCCTCATCCTCCCAGGCAAATGTATTCTTGTTGGTCTTTCCACTGGGAGAACATTAGGATTCAGGTCCTATCCCAATTCCTAAAACTCCAGTTCAACCTACTCAACCATTTGTTCTCACTGCCTGAAACCTCTTCCCCCTTCACTGCATGCGCGCGCACACGCACGCACACACACACACACACACACACACACACACACACACCTGTCCATCCTTCAGCACTCACTTCACCTCCCTCTGTCCTGGTCCTCCCCAGCCTGTCCTCCAGAGGACACTTCACCTGGACGGGATGAGAAAGCAGGCAGGGCTTACATCCCTCCTTTCTCCCCTCCAGAATGTAAGCTCCATGAGGGTAAGAATGTTTGTCTCTTGTTCAGTGCTATAATTCCCCAATATCCTGGAACAGTGTCCACACAAAGTAAACATCCAATAAACATTTGTGGAATAAATAAACTCCACCACTTAGTCACAATGTGACTATGGATAAATTTTAACCACTTATAGCTCCATATATTCAAAAGCCTATACCCATCTCAAATACCAGAGTTTGACACATTTTAGGGACCTGATAAGTAGACCCACTTTCTCACTTCCACTGAAACCTTGTACATAGTTATTCTACTCATTACAATTATTGTATTGTAATTCTGATTTACAGCCCAGACTGGAAGCCCTGCGGAGAAAGGAGGAGGCATCAGCCTCAGTGCCTAACACGGGAGAATAAGTTTCCTAGTGCTGTGCACACTAACCCCGATACTGCGCCTCAGTGAAGATCCGTTTCTTCCCTTCCCCGTTGTCTTTCTTTCACTGTCAAACTCCTGAAGGTATGTCTTCATTTACACATAGAACCATTCCCCTTAGCACCTTGCTATCTGATTTTCCTCTCAATCTCTCCTTTCATTTATGACCTCTCCTGCCAAATTTGACAGCCCTTTCTTGATTCTCATTCAATCCTATCTCTGTGACAAAACACAACTGCCTCCCACTTCTAAACCTAAACCTACAGACTCGGTGCACTGTGCATTCCTCCTAGTTCTCTTCCAACCTCTTGATCACCTCCTTTCACTGCTTTTTCTTCTTTTCAGCCTATGATACACCAAGGCTCCGCTTCAATCTTTTCCGAAGTTCTCATTCACTCCCTCCTCCGTTGGTGATACCACCTCATTCATTTCTACCCTGCATTCAGGTCCAAATGCACAACTGCCGAAGGGACAGACTCGCCTGGATATTGCACTATCGCCTCTGAGGGGTGATATGTAGAAATATACGGGCGTAAGAGTCAGGACACAAGATCCTGATCCAGTTCTACCACAAACAACCTGTGTGATTCTGGGCATGTCTAGTCTGTCTTAACAGAAAAATTAGTCAAGATTTAAGCTCTAGAAACCCTCCCAATACTAGCATTTTCAAAACCTACTTTCAGTATCTTCAAAATGAATCCCCAGTTAATCTACTTCTCTCCAATCTCCATGGTTCAGACCACCTTTTTCCTATCTTCCTATATGCAACATACCATCAAACCCTCTCATATCTTCCTTCCCTGGTTTAAGCTCCTACTTTGGCAAAGGTTGTTATTCTAGTGAGGCAATATGTACAGGAGAAAGGCCTTCTCGACTATCAGGAAAGACCAGAGTGCGGGGCCCAGGTGTGCACTGAATGTAACCGCCTGAATAAACCAGGTGATTCTGTCTTGGTTTTCCCTACAAAATCAGGCAGGACCAGTAGGGTGGAGCCAGCCTCAGTGCTCGTCCTTACTGTCCAGTGAGTTCCAGAAAGCAAATTAACTATAGTTGGAAACATTTCACTGGCACAGTACATGACTCAGGGTAAAGTTATGACCCGAGTTTTCCACTCTCCTTTTGAAATCCATTCGCTAAAGTGAAAAAGCAACACACTCACACACAGAAGCATACCGTTTTCATGCCTTGTTCTTGCGGGCAGTTTTTAAAGCTCCCAAATCACAGACCAGGCCAGAGAAAACATCATAAGAGAAAGTACTAAGCCCTCAGCCAACTCTAGAGCTGCTGGGTGTGGTTCCTTTGTGGTGATGGCGAATAATAGTTTTATGTGCTCTACTTTGTCTCAAGGTAGGAGGATGACGGTAGATACACATAAATTTTTAAGGCTGTTTCAGTGAAAACACTACTTAAACCCAACTATACAGTATCCGGGGAAATTTTACATCCTAAAGGATTTTGGAAGAAGCCTTTTCTCAGTTCATATGAAAAAAAAACCTTTGTATTTTACTTTTGCACAGAATGCTGAACAAAATCATTTTCTTTGTCAATTAAGAATTTAGTAGTGCTTCATGATTTATGAAGATCAATTATGACTAAACAATATTGAAGATTCAGAAATGCAGAGACTCAACTGAATCTAAAAATGATGCTAGGCTGTATGTACTACAGGGGGAGGCAGGGGATCTTTTTTGTAGAGAATGAGTTAATAGTCATCTTATTTGACTTCTCCCTAAATATGAGACCATCACTAAAATCATTCTCATTACCTGCAGGTTTTAATTATGTGCTCCAGTTTAGTAAGGCTTTCTTATTTGGCAGTATTTATTGGCCTGAAATTTCTTATCATTTCAAGGCATAAGAATAGTTAATCATTTCCTTATTTGCCTATTATACCAATAAAGCCTGTTTCCTGATTTGTAACATTCCTTAGCTGTGAAACAGACCTGACGTGTTCTAACCATCAAAATACCAACAACAAAACATTTTTTTAGAAATTTGCAATGAAGAGCATCAACTTCTAATACAAATATTGAATTATAAATTATACTTCTTATATAGTAACAAACCAATTCAAACATAAGCAACCACCTTTAGGGAAATTTTATTATAAATTAGTATGAAAATTAGATGTGGATTTTTCTTAACTGTTGCCTAACCACTCAATGAGTTAAATCAGAGTCTGTGGGTGGGTCTCAAGCACCCACAGGTTTTAAAAACCCCAGGTTATTCTAATGTGCAGCAGTGCTGAGAATTGCAACGCAATGGCAACTAAAAGATTTTTCTTTTAGATAAAAGCTTTCCCCCCTTCTTAGAGAATATACTTCTAAAATGTCAAAGATAACTTGGGGGAATGTTTTAGAATTGAGACTAAAATGTAGCTGTTATTTGAACAATTTCTCAAAATGAAAAAATAAGGCTGTAAAACTTTAACAGGTACGCCTAGTCATTAAAGGTAAATCCTAAACCAGTTTTCAAACAAGTTCATACGACCTAGAGTCCTCTACGGTACTTCATAGGAACCTTAAAATATGTGACCCCCAAAATAAATAACAATATGTGACTAAACTGTTAATAATGACCCCTAGGGAACAGGAGAGGTAGAATAAATTTTCTGTTTCTTGCTTCTTACAATTCTCTATTTTATTTTAAATAATTTGCATGACTATATTCTTTATTCTATGAGTTAGAAATCATATTGAAAAAGTGCCAATTTAAAAAAAAAAAAAAAAAACCTATTCTAAAAACCTACTTAGTGCCAAATCTGGTTTGGCTCAGTGGTAGAGCGTCAATCTGCGGACTGAAAGGTCCCGGGTTCGATTCCGGTCAAGGGCATGTATATTGGTTGCGGGCATATCCCTGGTGGGGGGTGTGCAGGAGGCAGCTGGTCGATGTTTCTCTCTCATCGACATTTCTAGCTCTCTATCTCTCTCCCTTCCTCTCTGTAAAAAATCAATAAAAATATTTTTTTAAATTAAAAAAAATAAAAACCTATTTAGTGAAAACTAAGAAAATGATGCTAGTACACCTCATCACATTTATCCTCTATTTATTATTACTTTTCTTAACTGCATGTTTACTCCAAGAACATAAACCCTAGCTAGTAAAACAAGGTGCTATCCTAGTCATGCTTCATTCATTATGCAGAGAACTTTTCATCCAAGGGTTTCATTTGTAGGTGGTTAAGGCAGAAACAACAGGGGTTTCTAGGCCACAGTACAAGCTAGTTTGGATGGGGTTTGAGGGGAAATACTCATTTTAGAATTTCGGCACATTGCAATGTGCAGTACTTGCAGATTAAAAACTATGTGCGTTTTGCTTCTCCCAAGGTAAGTCAAAATGTGGAATCGCGTTCGGCCCGTTAGTTCTCTCCTCCCTTTCACACAACATCCCACCCAACTCCGTCTTCACACGAGAGGGCTGGGGTTTATTTGCTAAAGGATTCCCCCATGGCATTTTCTTCCCCGGCCTTTCGATTTCGCAAGTGAAACTTCTGGCCATGTCAACAGCTCACACGTTAAGCATCAAGCCAGGTAAATGACAGGTGCAGTCGTACCCGTGACTTAGGGTTGCTGCTATTTGGTTTTCACTTAATACGTTAACTTTTTTTTTTTTCTTTTCCTTTCTTGTCTTCAGGAAAGCCAAAGAACAACGTGCAAGTACCGAACGTCCAGAGAGATCTTCCTAACAAATAGTTTAGGCTACATCCTTTTATCTCCTTTACGGTCATGGACGGGTGGGTCCCAAATCAGCTTTCTGAGCACTTCTTGTTGTGTGTCAAGGTCGTTAGGATAAAAATAAAGCCGTCCTCCAAGGTCTTTTGAAAAAGCTGAGCAGCAATACCAGCCGCTGCCTTCCCGCTCCCCGGGCCGGAGCCCCCGCCCAGGCTCCGGGCCCCGAGGGTGCGGAGCGCCGGGCAGGAAAGGGCTGCAGCCCTGGGGCGCCGGGCTCTGGCCCGAGCCGGGCTGCAGCCTCGGACACCGCCCAGGGGTGCGGGGAGGGGGGGCCCGCAGCCACGGCCCAGAGCCCTAGCGGCCTCCCCGGCGCAGGGCCCGACCCCCGAAGGCGGCCGCTCCCAGCCTGGGGCCCAGGAAGACGCCGCCTGACCGACCGACCGACCGACCGGGCCCAGCGAGCAGCCCCCCCGGCTCCGAATTCAGGGCCGTGCGGTCCCCGCCCCGGGACTAGGAAGGACGGCGGCGCGGACGGGCGGTCTCCTTCAAGTTGTAGCAGGAAGGGCAGCGGGGGTGGCCATAAAGTGGGCCCGGAGGGGGGGAGTGAGGGAGGGGGTTCGGCGCCTCACCTGCTCCTCCCGAGGCAGCCGCTACCGCTCGATGAGGAGACAACATGGAGCCTCCGCCTGTAGCAGAAGCAGCAGGGCTCAGAGAGGGAAGGGCTTGGGCGGGAACAAACTTGGCCTTGGCCTTGGGGGCGGGAAACAGGCGGGGCCTGGGCTCTGGAAGAAACTGAGGAGGAAGGAGGCGAGCGCGGAGCCGCGAGGGAGCGAGCAGAGGGCGGGTGGGCGAGGCCCGACCGGAGGCTGCGGGCGCGGCGAGCCCTGGGCCGGCTGGAGCGGGAAAGCGCACGCGGCCGACTCCCGCCACCGCCCGACGCGTGTGCGCCTGCGCGGGAGAGCGAAGCGCGCCGCCGTCTACCTAGGACTGCGCACTGGGGCCCGCGGTCCGTTGGGAATTGTAGTCCTGTGCCCTCTGGGTCCCCGCCAGGGCTCCGGGTTCTGCGCACTCATCCCGGGCAGGGAGGAAGCGGAAGCCGGGGGGAGGGAATGGGCTTCTCTGGGCTTTTCGACAACTGAACTACAACTCCCAGCAGGCCTTGCGGGGAGGTTAGGGCCGGCCGGGGCGGGAGCCCGCCAGTGACTCAGGCCCGGAACCCAGCCCTTGGATAACCGACATCGATCCCCTGTCCGCCCTGCGTTTGAGACGGTTTTGGTGTTTAACGCTGCTCGGGGCCACAGATGGGCGGCACTCTGCCCTAAGGACCGAAAGAAGGCCTTAACCCTGTGTGACGTGAGCGACACCGATTTTTCAACGATTTTGACTTCACAAGGGAAAGAGGCTGTGATTTCATTACCGCCATTATTAGCTTTACCCATATTCCCGTCCCCGGCCAAGCCCGATGGTGCACCATCGCCACTCATAGCTAATATAAGCGGTGAAACCCTTCCACCAGCTTTGTCGAGCCTAAGCCACGGCCATCTTTTGTTAACCTCAAGTTTACAGGAGCTTTTTTTGAAGCTGCTTTGCATACACATTCGTAAACTGTATGGTAAATCAATACAAAAAACAAGATTCTCCGAAAATGCTTTTATTCACACTTCACGTAGGATTGAGGAAATGTTCATAGCCACAATTGGATAGTTTGTTATTTTGAATTTATTGAGGTAGGCGCAGTTCTCTTGGGATTAAGTAGCTGGTGAAGCTTACGAGAGGCTTGAAGCATCCATCACACCACCACCTCTTGGCATCACCATGGCCTCATTCAGTTAAGAAAATTATTCACTTTTTTTCTTCTGCCTCTGAACTATTATTATAACCTATCTAGCTACTTCCAGGCCCTGCCAAGTCCTTAAGCTGTTAACAAATAGTGATTAGATCAGAGGTGAAGAGGTAAAGATAATTCTACCTAATCTTACCTAAAAAGGTCCTCTTTTGATTTATTTTCTCCTGGCCCTTTTGATTCTCCCCAAACTCTCAATATTATTTGAATATCTTCCTCCAGATTGTAGATTTTAAGGGTCTAGATTAGATCTGGACCAACTGGGTCCAGAAGGAACTAGACATGAACATCAGCGAAAGTGTTTACTGGGTTTCACCCAGTGCAGAAGGCAGGACTTGCAGGATGACAGACAAATCCAGGGCATTATCTGGCAGGCTCAGAGAGAGCTGGGTTAAAAGCCAATGATGTCACAATTGCATTACACAGTGTAAGAATTTAAAACTGCATTCTCTATTCTTTTTCCCAATATCTCTCCATAAGACTTTTTTTTTTCACATAGAGGGATAGAGAGCTAGAAACATCAATGAGAGAGACACATCGACCAGCTGCCTCCTGCATACCCCCCACTGGGGATGTGCCTGCAGCCAATGTACATGCCCTTGACAAGAATCGAACCTGGAACCTTTCAGTCAGCAGACCGATGCTCTATCCCACATGTGCCCGCAGCCAATGTACATGCCCTTGACAAGAATCGAACCTGGAACCTTTCAGTCAGCAGACCGATGCTCTATCCACTGAGCCAACCCAGTTTCGGCTAAAACTGCATTTTCTATTCCCTTTCCCCATCTCTCTCCATAAGTCTTCTTACCATAAGACTTCTTACCTGATGATGCACCATCTAACCACTTTTCTTTTTGTTTATCTTTTTCCATTAGAATGTATGTTCTAAACAGACAATATGTTGTCTCTTTTGTTCAATGCTATATTCCTATGCCTCAACAGTGCCAGGTAGGTAATAAAAACTCAAAGATAGATTGATAGATTTAATTTCAGAGAGGAAAGAAGATGAGAATCATTGATTGGCTGCCTCCTGCATATCCAACACTAGGGATCAAGCCCACAACCTGGGCACATGCCACAACCGTGAATCAAACCATAACCTCCTATCGATAGTTCATAGATTCAATCACTGAACTACACCATCTGGCAAAACTCAAATGTTTATTGAATGGATGAATAAAGAAGGAATATGATAAAAAAAAAAAAAAAGAGGAAGAAGAAGAAGAAGAAGAAGAAGGTATATGTTACACTTAACACCATACACTCACTTTCTTATTACTATAATATAAAGTATCTACTTTTGCATTTGAACAAAATACCCTATTATTTTATAAGGACTACCAACAGAGATACTCTGAAGTCCATCCTTCAGGAAATTACCAGCAAATACTGATGTAACATCTGTCCCAATGTAACATTATCAAGGTCAGCGTTAGCAGCATCAGCCTTCCCCATACATAGCTTGTAGAAGCTTTGGACATGTGGAATAACACAGTACAAATTATAGGTATTGTTTAACGAGAAACATGTTTTGTTGTTATTGTTGCTGTTTCCTTCTCAACTCTTCAGGGTCATCAAAACAGTGGATATTCAAAATGCTGAATATTGGTGTTACTGATCACCGCTGCCTTCAACCATCTCATGCTGAATTGAGTCATGTGGTATGAGCAGAGGCTGGGCTTCTCTGTGGCTTTCTATAAGTAGGTGACAGGTAGGCATGTTTGAATGGGGAAGGCCATTGGCTTTGACCTGGCTTTGAATTCAGACTCTGAGACTCACTCGCTGGGCAAACTTGAGTTACTTAACTTCTTTGAACTCATTTCATCATTGTCAAATGATTAGCTTACTCAACTAACAGTATTATGAGTTAAATGAGATGTGTTTGGCAATTGTGACTGATGCCTAGTTAGCGCTCAAAAATTGGTGTAATCAGCATACTGGAAAAGCCAAACAAAGTCATAAATATTCAGGCTACTCGGGTATTTTTATGAAGCACAAAAATTGCAAGATTGTTTTCTGCGGTGATACCCACCGTGACTCAGGTTCCAAGGCGCTCATTCCGTGCCTGGCACAGTGCCCGGCAGTGACGCTGCAGGGCCATCGGAAACAGTCCTGTCTTCCAGAGACTCGGTCTTAGGCGGTAAACAGCCAACTAAATAGTCTCCCGCTGTGACTGCGCCAGGACACCGTTCAGCCTTCTGTCCTTCCACCTACTTGCAAAATCCATGTTTAAGCAACAGTATGGGCACTCGGAGGGACAAATGGGACTACTTGCGTCCTTTGGTGTCATTTGAATATGCGTTCCTTCCTTCGTTCGTGTATAATATGAGGTAATGACTTGGTGTCCTAGTTTATAAAAGGAAAATAGTCAACCCCAACTGACAGGGTATTATAAAGCTGAATATCTGCCCTTCACCTGGTAACAAAAGCTCAAGACCTGCCAGCTGCTTCCTTGTTGTTATTTCAACTAACAGCACAGCTGCCTAGCTCTTCAGAAAGCCAGAAGGAAAGAGCACTAGAATGTACTCTTAAGGAAAGGAAGCGAGATTCCCAAGGGTGTACAGCATGCTCTCGTTTGAATGAAAAAGGGTGGATAATATACAGATTTGCTTGGAAAGCTCCTAGCAGTTACCTACATGTATGTAGACGGAGAGCCTGATGGGTGGGGAGGGGTTTGTATAGAAGAAACGTCCTAGTGTATTGTATATACTTTTGAAAAATATGTGTGGGCATGTATGTGTGTATGAACATATATATGACAGGTGAATATGTTTTTTAAATGTTTAATGAAAATATATACTTTTTTTCCTAAAAGACAAGAAACAAAATGGGGTACTGAGATGGCCTAGAAGCCGAGAGGTAAACGAGCTGTGAAATACCAGTGCTGTAAGGATAGGGCCAAGGAAGAGGAGGCCCAGCTCAGGGCCTCAGCATTAAAAACCACTCAGCAGAAGTTCTGAGGAACGACTCCGCTGCAGGGAGCACTTTAAAAATTCCAGGGGGCCCTAACCGGTTTGGCTCAGTGGCTAGAGCGTCAGCCTGCGGACTGAGAGGCCCTGGGTTCGATTCCAGTGGGAGTGTGAAGCAGACAATGCAGCCGATCGATAATTCTCTCTCATCACATCATTGATGTTTCTATCTCTCTCTCCCACTCTCCCTCTTCTGACATTAATAAAAAAATATTTTAAAATATAAAAAAATAGAAAAATATATATATATAAAAAAATAAAAATCCCATGGGCGCCCTTCCCTGCCTGAAAACTTCCACGGAATCCCCATTAGTCTTAAGACAAAGTGTCAGTTCTTTAGTTCTATATTATAGTTTCTCCACACTCTGACCCCAAAGTATCTTTTCCATTTTCTCTTCCTCTTATCCCAGCACAAACCCTCGGCTCTAGCCAACTTGGGTGAACCACACTCAAAACACCTTCTATATCAACACACAACTGAGCCTCCAGCCACTTCAGGTGGCCTAGGCAGCTGTGAAGGGGAGAGGTTAGAGGGGACCATATCTCAGTTTCTTCTGCTAATCAAGCCAGCACTGAAGTGCATCATGGGCTGGGCTGGGAGGAGGGTTCTGTGATTGGTCTGCCCAGAAGGAGGTCTTCCTATGTATTTGCTTCACACCATTTTTCCCCTGCATTCAATGACCCCTTTACCACTCCAGACCTGTCTGACTTTGGGCTTCTTCATAAAACCTCCCCAAACCACTGTAATTCCATAGTGATTCCCTATCCTCTTAAATTCATACAATTCATTTGCCTTCTAATTATGGCAGGATAGTTTTGTGTTGTTTGGGGTTGCTATTTAATTTGTATTTTTTTAACTTTATGTGAATATGTCCTAGCCCCAACTAGCTTATAAGCTCATTGAAGACAGGATAAACTTTAAAAAAAAAAAAAATACCTCCAGACTTCCCAGGACAGTGCCCCATACACAGCAGGTGATCAGTAAACATTTGTGGGACAAATCATGTGTACAAGTATAATAACATCCCAAGTCAGTCTTGCTTACTGGGAAGTTTGCTGGTAAAGTAAGAGAGATCAGGAAGGAAAGGCAGCTTCAAGAATTGGACCTGGCATAAATGTCTCATTCATATATTATATATATATTCATATATTTTCGCTTTTATTAAAAAATTTGAAAGGTCTGAAGAGACCACCAAGACCACTTCAGTGTCTTGATTTTTAGCTTCTTTTCTCTGCTTCTAGATATCATGGAAATGGATTTCCTTTCTGGCCAGGACTCCAGATTCTAGCAATTGCTGTCAGGGTTAGGGACCAGGATCATTCATTTCCTATTGAGCAGCTACTGTTGTAAATTTTTAAACTTGATCCACTTATTGGGATGGGCTTGGTCACTCGTTGGCTGGTATTTCCTCTTGCCATCTGAAGGACAGAGTGCTGCATTATCGACTGATGCCGTAGGTGCCAGAGTAAGATGTTTGCCACAAAGTTATTTTGGGAAATGTGCTTCTGTGCCTTTTTTCAGAGTGTTGCAACAGCCAGGAGCTTTTCGCCTGTCGGGGCTTTACCTGACCTTAAAAACTGTCAAGGGCGGATGTAGTCCACTGTTCCCGAACGTTTCCACTGGTCAGATTGCTTTTCCTTTCAGTGGCCACCTGGCTGGGCACCTTGACCTTCGTGAGGCAGCATCTTTACAGGATCTGCTGATCCTGCTATTGCCCTGTGAGTCACCAATTGCTGCTTTAGCAATAGCAGAGCCTAGTGCCTTGATTTTTATTATTTCCAGTCTATGTTCCCCTTTGTAAAGGAAGTTTGCACATTTCAAATATTTTGACCAAATGTAGGGAGAAGGCTTTGAATTTTGCAGACCAAGTGAAGTGAAGCAAGAAAAAAAAAATCAACAAAATCTAATATGAGCTAGGTATTTGGTTTCACATACATTTTCTGCTAATGATCCCTATGAATAAAATTCAATCGTGTATTTTGTACCATAGTCTCAATTTTTAGCACCTCATTTTACCATCGCCTCTAACTACAGCCAGGATGCTATCTCCTGGCTCTTCTTTTTCTCAGTAGCTCAGTTTTTATCCGTCAACATTTGCCTGCTTTACCTGATAGACTATTCGCAGGAAAGGACGATCTTAAGACCCAAGGCGGTCTAGAGTAATGAGAGAAGAATTTGAAGCAGGTTCTGCAGCTGCATTGCCATGTGATTGGAATGAGTAATCGTTTTTCATTCTGTACAGCATCTTCCTCCGCCTACCAAATGGGAGACCGTGCCGTCTCCCATATCATGACACATCCGGAAAAATTCATAAAGCGCCTTGCAGAGTGGGCCTACCCCACACCGTGGTTTGCACATTTTATTTGGCGTCGGACAAAAGACGAGGGAGAACTCTGGAGTTGATGGGGAAGAGATTCCCCCTGATGAAAGCGAAGAGAAACGTGTGTGGTTAAAACACATCATCTGCCGACCCTAAAACATCCACACTTATGAAGGAACGCTAATTCGCAGACCCCCGCCCGCTTCAGTCTCGGTGGTGGGCAGGGCTTGGCGCATGGCCACGCCCCTTTGCGGTTGCTCTCCTTCCCCGCCCCCGAGGGGCGTGGCGAGAAGAACGCGCAGGGACCATTCTTGCGCCTGCGTCTTGCGTCGCTGGGCACCTCGACGCGGCCGCCGCCCGCCCGAGGGCCCTGTGTGCGCCTGCGCGCTCGCGCTCCCGCCCTCTCGCCGTGCCCGGCCGAGTCAGTCAGTCTGTCGGAGTCTGTCCTCGGAGCCGGAGGCGCGAGAGGATTCCGCAGAGCCCCCCCTGTCCTATTATCTTCTTGCCCCCTCCCTCTCCTCCGCCCCACGTCTCACTTCACCCCTCTCTCGCCCTCGCGCAGCCATGGCGGACCTGTCGGCGGCCACTCAGTCCCCGTCCGTCTCCTCGACGTCCTCCGGGGCCGAGCCCTCCGCGCCCGGCGGGGCCGGCGGCCCGGGAGCCTGCCCCGCCCTGGGGACGAAGAGCTGCGGCTCCTCCTGTGCGGGTGAGGCGCCGGGGGGCCCGCCCGCCCTCGGGAGCGGGGGGAGGGGGGCTCGGGCAGGCAGAGCGCCCACCCTCCCGGCGTGTGGCCGCGGCCCCGGGGGGAGGGGAGCCGGGCGCGGGCGTGAGGAGATAACGGGTGTGAGGAAAACAGGGTGCGGGCGGGAGCCGCTCCAGGGAGGGGGCGTGGGCCCCGGCCAGGTGCGGGGACCCAGCTCGGGGAGCCGCCCGCCGGGCCGGGCGACGGAGCGGAGGATGGAGGAGCAGGGGAGGAGGGCAGGCTGGTGGTCGGAGAAACGGTGAGGGAGGCTGGCAGGGGGCGGTGGTGCAGGGTTGCATTGCAGGTTTGCAGCAGGTGTTGACATAATCAGACATTCCTGGGAGTCATCCAAAAAAATTTTATTTTATTTTTTTTTTTTTTGGTTGCCCGTGGGGGAGGATGAGGAAGTTGAGTGGACACAGGGGAGCCGTTTTCTATGCCGTTTTCACCGCCTTTGATCGCCTGTCGCTGAGACGCCCCGCCTAAATGCCCGGATTCTCCTCGGGGCTCGGGCAGCGGGAGGGGATGAGAGCGGCGCGGGCAGCCCGGGGAGGGCGCTGCCTCGGGTCCAAGATGGATCCGCGCTGCACCCGCGGCGCCACCCGCTCCCCGGCGCGGGTGGGGGCAGGGCCGCGCCGCAGCCGCTTCTGGTCCTGAAGGTGATCAATGCAGTCAGGCCGGCCGGCCGCGTATTTTTCATTTCATGCTTTCTGTGGGCTCTGTTGACGGCGGCGGCGGCGTAACAAAAGGGGGTGTCTGCCGCAGAAAAGGGGGAGGGGAGACAGTCAGACAAACCTGGGGGAGCCCCGTCTTCCCTCTGTGAAAGGCGGAGGGATGCTGCGGGATGCTTTTCGCTTCCATTGTACACGCATCTGCCCGCTGGTGGGAGCTGGCTGGCAGGCTCCCCTCGGGCCGAGATCCGCAGTGCAGATGTCTTCTGGAGGAGGGAGGACGCAGCCCAGCAGGTGGTAAAGGAACTCGGCCTTCGAAGGAGGGAAAGGAAAAAAAAAAAAAAAATATATATATATATATATATATATATATATATATATATGCACACACACACACACATATACATATATATAACATATATGTATATTACAGATGATGTTCTCTATTTAGTTACTTAAAGGATTTTTGAGAGATTCAAAAATGCTTTCTTATCTCCTTTGTCAGAATCTTGGGTTGATGGCTATAGGGAACTCAACATTTCTGATCTCGGCTCTAGATATATTCTCTGCGTGTTTCTTGAACCGTGGATCTCCCACGTGAGAGCTCTGGTGCCCTGTTGAATTTTCCAGTGTGGGTAGGACCATTTCAGTAGAAGCAGTAGCAGCGGAAGCTTCTGCAAGGTCAAGATCAGCTGTCCAGCTGAAGGGATGAGGCAGCACATTTAGCTCCCTTGTTTCCTTTACACCATCAGGCATTCCGGCTCCCAGGTGAACAGCAGCGTCCCTATAACTTAGCGACTTGTCATTGCTGACTGTCTCCATCGCTGGCCCTTTTGTTCGTACCTTTTGATTTTTCTTGATTTAAAATGTTCTGTTCACCTGAAAAATAAACTCGATAGATTCCCTATCTTAAATTCCTGTCCATTGGAAATGTGTATTGATGTTGTCTGAGAATCATTAGTACCGTTTTGGGGTCCCACTGTAAGATGCTGCCATGCATCGTTATCATGTCATTGCAGCCGCTTTTCCCTGTTGCAGAATGTTTCCGCCATCTCTCAAAGGAAATGTCTCAAGCCTCTGCACAGTGAAAATAAGATGGACTTTGTTATTCCAAAATGTAACTCATTTAAACGAATACTAAGAAAAATCTTCCTGGGTTGTTTAAAAATCTACGTGTGTTGATGTCAACAACCTTCAAGTTATTTCACCAAGCTCCTGTCGGTTTTAGAGACTTTCAAAAAATAAAAGAGTAAATGGTCACTTGGTGTCCTTTAGGAAACAGTGTTGCCCTGTCTGACCTGTTGGGTAATGATTTTAGAAATAATAGTTTTACCTAAAGGTAGAGAATGCGTGAGCGGCGGCACTCTGGTCCAGTGCCTGAGGTACAGTGCAGCTGGCAATGTAGTGTGCTTGTAGAAGGAGGTCAGGGGCCAGAATTGGCTTCCCAGATTTCTGCCTTTGGAGGAAAGAGAAGATTTCAAGGCAGAAATTTGAAGTTGAGGTAAAGGAGATTTACATATTTAGAGTTCTTTTCAGGGTGAGAGTTGTATTATTGCTGTGAAAATCATGGTGCCAAAATAAAGCTGCATTTCCTGTATCTGTTCTTGGAAATTAGCTCAAAGCAAAAACAGCTTGGACAATTTTTTTTAAAGTTTATGTTTTAAATCTTCTTTCACTCATGAAACTTGGTTGTTCTCTGTACTTTTGATGGCATCATTTTCACACTTTGTTCTAACAAGTCAGTCAAATGTAAGTATATAATTTGTATTTTCAGTCTGAACCCTTAGCTAAAAAGGAATCTGACTGACTACCTGTTCAACACTGACGTTATCTGTATTGTATTCATGCCAAATCATTGGTGGCACTGTCATTGGAAATAAACACAGACTTCAGTCCCAGAGACATCTGGGTGTAGCCTGACTCTTTAACTACATGGCCCAGTGCAAACCCTTAAATCCTTTTATTGAATTACAATACCTAATATTTTGTACATTTTTTTGCATATTGCAAACTTTTGCACCTAGGTGCAAAATAGCAATTGAATTACAAGTGAGAAATCATAATCTTCCTCATAATAAAGGAAGATCTTAGTACCTTTTTCTTTCTAAAAGTGAGTTCTTTCAGCTTTCGACCCCTCACATTGATGTCTTAAAGCTGCTACCCTTTCTTTCTCTCGGCTGGTCTGTTAAAGTGGTGGTTGGTCCTAGCTAGTTTGGCTCAGTGGATAGAGCGTCAGCCTGCGGACTGAAGGGTCCTGGGTTCGATTCCAGTCAAGGGCACATTCTTGGGTTGCAAGCTCCATCCCCATGAGGGGGGAAGCGCAGGAGGCAGGCAATCAGTTATTCTCCCTTCCTATCTCTGAAATCAATAAAAATACTTTTTTTTTTTAAAGTGGTAGATGGGGACAGAGAAAGACAAGATGTTTCATAGATGGCTTGGCATCTATGCTTAAATATTAGCTACAGCATTCTGACCAGAACAAGTGTAGTTATGATACTTATGAAACGCCTATCAGTGGAAGTAAGAGTACAGGAGACAGCCAGAATGGTCATGTCAGTTAGTTTACAAAATGCCTGTTTACTTGGAAGGTTTTTATTCCTCAGTAGTAAAAGGTTTCTTATGATGCTTTTTAGAGTCAAATTCACAAGTAATTTAACCACTCTGATCAAACAAACCAGTTGATATATATATTTAACAGGCATACCTTAACCTGAAATTGAAGTCAGAGCATTAGTGTTTTTATTATTTTAGAGATGGTCTGAAAACAAAATAGGCCTAATATAATTACTTTTATTGTATTCTGTGGTGAGAAAATGATATATTCTTCCTGATATAGGAGTCACCTGTTTAATCCTATGTAAAAAACCTGTAAAAAAAAAAAAAAAAAGAAGAAGAAGAAGAAGAACTTGTAAATTAAGTTTGGTGTTGAAGGAAATGGTGACATGTCATTGAAGAGAAAGGGAAAGTTAAGGTTTCCAGTTTTGTTTGAGCCAAGAGGTTGTTCTGTAGAAAGGCATTTATTTTTAGATTATCCGTAATTCTAGAATTGATTAACTATGCTTATTTTTATAAAGGGATAGAGAGTAGAAGTACTATTTTATTATTTCTAATTAGTTAACTTTTTAATATATCTTTATTGATTTCAGAGAGAAAGGGAGAGGGAGTCAGAAACATAAATGATGAGAGAGAATCACTGATCAGCTGCCTCCTATCTGAGGACTGAGCCCACAACCCAGGCATGTGCCTTTGACCCGGGACCCTTCAGTCCAAAGGCTGATGCTTTATCTACTGAGCCACACCAGCTAGCGCTAACCATGCATATTTATTGTGTGTACTTAGCTTATAGTTTGTGTTCAAACTTAGCTTATAATTTTTTATTGCCTAACTATACAGACTTGTGGCAAATATGTAAATTCCATAGTAAAACTTTCTAAAGCCCTTGTAGGAAAAGTATGTTAAATAAGTGTATCCATAATTAGTGTTGCTTGAGATTGCATCATTGAAGTCTTTTACTACATGTCTACATTTCTTTGACTTATGTAAGACATGTTAATCTGTGATCTTGCAGTTTCAGAGAGAATCTCTTTATTTTTTTATTGATATTTCACAGAGAGGAGGAAGGGAGAGAGATAGAGAGCTAGAAACGTCGATAAGAGAAACATCGACCAGCTGCCTCCTGCACCCCCCCCACTGGGGATGTGCCTGCAACCAATGCACATGCCCCCGGCCGGAATCGAACCTGGGACCCCTCAGTCCACAGACCAATGCTCCACCACTGAGCCAAACCGGTTTTGGTGAGAGAATCTCTTTAAGTAGTGTACTATAAGATTTGTATTTTACATTATGGGGGGGGGGGGGTTGTCAGCAGGTAGCCCACTCTTGTGGTCTTTTAAAATTTCAAGTAAATATTCTTAATCTGTTTTCTCCCTATAAAAATTAACTCATTTCTTTTTCTCCCTCTAAGGACATCATCATAACCTAACCAAGAAGGGACATGTGAGCTTTTTGACGTTTCTCATTTGCAGTTTGCCCTTGAGGGTATATTGAAGGGTAAACTAATACAAAGCTCTTTTTGTCCTGTTACTTGAAAGCATTTCAACAGTGAGCATTGCCTTCATTTTACATAGGAAGTAGAAATATTTAATTTTTATTTGTTGTATTATATATTTGTGTATTGCATTATGGTTTACTAGTAAATTGTGCCCATATATTAACTTAATTCAAGCAAACATTAAAGCTCTTTGTTAGGTGCCATGGGAGATAGGAAGGCAAATAAAACCCAGACAACCCCTC